CGTTGGTCCCTGTGAGTACTGGATCCTTACGGGTCCTCGTAGGGACACGTACTGTGGCCGCCCCGACCACTCTGCTGCACGCTGCTTCAGTCGTCTCGACGACCTCTACCGCTTGCACCACGGCCCCTCCGCTCCCCCGCCGCCACGCTGGGGGACGCTGCTTGCTCGTGGTATTGCTGTTTTTGATATGACTATGGATGATGCTAGGTCTTATGCCATGTATGCTGATGTTGACTATAGTGCTCCTGGATCTGTGTACTTGCCTGTACCTAGCTTAGGATCTTTGCCTGTTGCTAGAGTAGGTGCTAGTGTAGGATCTTGCTTAGCTACTAGTACAGGTACTCCCTCGGCGGACACGTCTCTCTCCTTCACACTGGACTCAGGAGCGTCGCACTGCTTCTTCCGCGACTGCACGACTCTCTCTCCGCTACCGGCGCCTGTCCCTGTAGCACTGGCCGATCCCTCCTCGGGACCGGTCATTGCGACTCACGCCACTACTCTCCCGTGCCCAGCTGCTCCTTCTGGTTCCCTGACCGGCCTCCACGTTCCTACGTTCTCTAGGAACCTGGTTGGTGTGGGCACCTTGGCGAGACAGCACGTCGGTGTCTGGGTTGAGCCTTCTGGTGACACCGCAGTCTGCGTCGACGGTGACACGTACGCCCCCTTGGCCACTTTCCGCCAGGAGCCGGGCTCTGGTCTGTACACCCTCCGCACCGACCCCCGTCAGGTTCCCCCGTCCCACCAGGTAGCCGGGTCCAGTCAGGTTGCTGTGTCAGGTGTAGTTGCTGCGTCGTGCTCGTGTCGGTCGCTTGCCCACCCCACCGTTCTGTGGCACCACCGGATGGGGCACCCGTCCCTTCCTCGTCTGCGCGCCATGTCCAGTCAGCGTCTTGTCTTAGGCCTCCCCCGAGTCCTCCCGCCACTCCCGCCGTCCCCAGCTCCTCCGTGCGGTCCTTGTGTCCAGGGTCGGCTTCGCGCCACCCCTCACTCCTCCTCCCTTCGTCCGGCCACCGAGCCCTTCCAGACACTCCACTTAGACGTCTGGGGCTTCGCCTCCCGCCTTGGCCCTGAGCGGGAGAGTTTCTTTCTGGTGGTCGTTGACGATTTCTCTCGGTACACCACCGTGTTCCCTTTGGCGAAGAAGTCCGACGTGACTTCTACGCTGATCCGGTGGCTGCTCGCCACCGAGGGCACTCGTGGTCGTCGTGTCAGTTGTCTCCACTCCGACCGTGGGGGTGAGTTTCGCTCCGGCATTCTCGCCAGATTCTGTGCTGAGCAGGGCATCACCCAGTCCTGGACTCTTCCAGACTCTCCACAGCAGAATGGGGTTGCTGAGCGCCGCTTAGGCCTGGTCATGGAGATCGCCCGCACCTCCATGATCCACGCCCGTGCGCCTTTTTTTCCGTGGCCCTACGCGGCTCGGTACGCCGCTCACCAGCTGAACCTCTGGCCTCGCGTCTCTCGGCCAGGGGCTTCACCGACCAGTCTTTGGACAGGGTCCCCTGGTGTTGCGTCGAGGTTTAGTGTCTGGGGCTGCTTGGCTCTTGTCCGCGACACCTCTGCGGACAAGATCTCGCCTCGTGCAGTCCCCTGTGTCTTCCTTGGTTTCCCAGAGGGCTCCTCTGACTTCACCTTTTACCACCCACCCTCCCACCGGTTCTTTGACTCTCGTGACGTCCGTTTCGACGAGTCCGTCCCCTACTACGTCAGGTACCCCTCTCGAGGTCTCCCGGTTCCCCCCCCTCCCCTCTTCCTGGCTCCAGCTCCTCCTCCTCCCGCCCCTGCTCCTCCGGTACCCCCCCCTGTTCCCGCTCCGTCTGGTGTGTCTCACGCTACTCCCCCTCCCTCGGTACCCCCCCAGGTCTCTCCTCCTTCCCCACAGTCGTCCTCACCGCCTCCGCAGCAGCCGTCGGCGCTTCCTTCACCGGCCACTGCGGACACTGAGGGTGTCGGTGCTAGCGGTGAGGGCTCTGGCGGTGCTCGCTCTGGGGGTGCTGGCGTTGGAGCTGTTCGTGCACCTACAGGAGCGGCCAGTTCTGGGGGTGTTGGCACTGGCGCTGAGCGTGCACCTGCCGCAGCTGCCCGTTCCGAGGGTACTGGAGCTGGTGGTGGTGCTGGAGCTGGTGGTGTTTCTGGAGCTGGAGAGTCTGGGGCTGGTGCTGGTGCTACTGGGGGCACCACGCCTGGGGGTGCGGGTACACCTCCTGCAGGTGCAGGTCGTGCTGCCGCGGGGGGTACTCGCTCTGGGGGTGCTCAGCCGGGTGCTGTCGAGGGCGGAGCAGGTTCTTCTTCGTCGTCTCCTCACGCTACTCCTCCTCCTCACCCTTACCCGACTCGCCACCAGGCCCGTCTTCGTCTTGCGCGCGAGGAGCAGCAGCGTTTGGAGCGTGAGAGGTTGGAGCTTCAGCAGCGGGTGGAGAGTGAGAGGTTGGAGTTGCAGCGGGAGCAGCAGCAGCCGCAGCAGCCTCCGCCCCCTGTTTCTGGCCTTCGGGCCCTTGGTCTCCCCTCCTCTCCTCCTGTGTTCGGTCCTACGTTTCCTCCTCCGGACTCCACTCCGGCTGTCTTCCCTCGTTCTCTGTCTCCTCCGTCCCCCACTCCTCTCGCCCACACTTGGGCCTCTCGTCCTCCTCGTGCTCGTCCCTCGTCCCCTGTCACTGACCTCCGTACCGTGTTGTTTCGTCCTAGTCCTCCTCGTTCTCCTCCGTCGGCCCTTCCTCGTCCTCCTGAGTCTTCCCTCACTGCCTCCCTGTCCACTCCGGTCACTGACTACTACCGCACGTACCGCCCCACTCTCTCTCGTGTTCTCGCCTCTCTTGTTACAGACCCTCGTGCCTCCCCTTCCTCCGTCGCGGTAATCACTGCCGCTGTCACTGACTTTACTGCTACGCGTCGCCTTGACTACGCTACTCGTGTTGTGGCCGCTCCTCCTGTCCGTCCTCTGTCCGCCGGGGGTGAGTCTGCCCTTGGCTGTGACGTCCTAGAGGACAGACAGTTTGAGCTAGAGTTCCTGGCAGCTGCTTCGCCTCATCTCTGTGCCATGCTGCTCACTCCTGAGGGAGACCCCGACGCTCCTGACATACCTACTCCTCGCACTTACGCTGAGGCAGTGTCAGGGCCTTGGGCCTCTCAGTGGAGAGCTGCCATGGACGCAGAGATGGCCTCCTACAGGTCCACAGGCACTTACGTTGACGAGGTTCCCCCACCAGGGGCGAACATCGTTGACGGCATGTGGATCTTCAAGGTGAAGCGGCCGCCGGGATCTCCCCCAGTCTTCAAGGCACGCTACGTGGCTAGAGGGTTCAGTCAGCGTGAGGGAGTTGACTTCTTTCAGACCTTCGCGCCCACCCCGAAGATGACCACTCTTCGGGTGTTACTGCACGTAGCAGCGCAGAGAGACTACGAGCTACACTCTCTTGACTTCTCCACTGCCTTCCTCCAGGGCCGCCTACACGAGGAGATCTGGCTGCGTCGTCCTCCGGGCTTCACTGGCACTTTCCCTCCTGGGACCCAGTGGAGCCTCAGACGACCGGTCTACAGTCTCCGCCAGGCACCCCGTGAGTGGCACGACACTCTCCGCTCTACTCTCTCCGACCTCGGGTTTGAGCCGTCTTCCGCCGACCCGTCGCTGTTTGTTCGTCGTGGGCGCACACCTTTCTTCGTTCTGGTCTACGTTGACGACTTGGTTTTTGCCACAGCCGACACAGCTGCACTGGCGGAGGTGAAGTCCGAACTGCAGAAGAGACACACGTGCACTGACCTTGGAGAACTGCGCCGCTACCTTGGCCTGCAGATCTCCAGGGACAGAGCCGCTCGCACCATCACTCTGACCCAGTCACACATGGTGCAGCAGGTCCTTCAGCGGTTCGGGCTTCAGGACTCCTCTCCTACACCCACTCCTCTTGCTGTAGACCACAGACTCACTGGGCCTTTTCCTGACGAGCCGTTCGAGCCCAGTGGTCCCTACGCAGAGCTGGTGGGCTGCCTCATGTACCTGATGACGTGCACTCGCCCGGACCTCGCCTTCCCTCTTAGCATCCTGTCTCGCTTTGTTGCGACTGGGAGACACCGTCCTGTTCACTGGGCGGCGGCTAAGAGGGTGGCGAAGTACCTTGGCGCGACATCAGGCATGGGGCTTGTACTTGGAGGGACACAGCCAGTTGTACTCACCGGTCACTGCGACTCCTCCTACGCCGACGACGTTGAGACTCAGAGGTCTACGCAGGGTTACTGTTTCAGCCTGGGTTCTGGAGCTGTTTCGTGGAGGTCTACTCGGTCCTCCTCGGTTGCGACTTCTACCGCAGAGGCCGAGATCTACGCTGGGGCCCTTGCTGCTCAGGAGCTACGCTGGTTGACCTTTTTGCTCACTGACCTTGGTGAGCGGCCGAGCTCTGCACCGACCCTGTTTGCTGACAACAGGGCGATGATTCTCCTGTGTCGTGAGCCTCGACTGGAGAGCAGAGTGAAGCACATCGACGTCAGGTACTTCCTCCTTCGAGAGTTGCAGAGACGCGGGCAGGCTCGTCTGGACTTCGTGGCCTCCGAGGCCAACACTGCAGACATCTTCACCAAGGCTCTTCAGCCTTGTGACCACCGTCGGTTCTGTCTGCAGTTGGGCCTCGTTGAGACTGGGTCGAGTAGACTGCAGTAGTGAGTGCTTGTCTCTTGTCTTTGCTTGTACAGTATATATCTGCATATACACTCTTGAACTGGCCTTGTGGCCGCTGTTTGCGCTCAGACTGTGTGGTGACGTTGTGATCCACCCTGAGCTTTGTTTTGTCTTTTGTTTGTGACTGGTCTTGTGACCTTAGGTTGCGTTTCTTGTTGCTTGGCATTCCCCACTTAGGCTATGGGGGTGTGTCAAATGTTATACCCTGTTGTGGGTCATGCTATATGGGGTACAAGCAGTTAGGGTTAGGCATGTGTACCCCAACCCTATCAATCCTACTCATTCCGCTGTTTTCACTTACTAAGAGAAAGGCACAACCTAATAAATGTGCACATCAATTTGTCAAAACTACCCTGCTTGGACCATAAATCTCCTCGCACCTCCGCTCAAACGAATTGACAAGGCTGCTCACCACCTCGTCGAAAAAAAGGTCCAAAAACTGCAATAGAGGGGGAAAGGGGGAAGAACAAAAATATAATAGCAAAATCATGATGGGTTCACGATTCACATCAATGAATGTGATGCTAGTGGTGAGCAAGAAACATGGAAACAACCAGAGTTAACAAGGAAGTCACTGCTGTGGAGCCCACCTGGGTGTAATGCCCATCCCACCTGGGTGTAGAGCTCAGCTGGGTGTAGAGCTCAGCTGGGTGTAGAGCCCACCTGGGTGTAGAGCCCACCTGGGTGTAGAGCCCACCTGGGTGTAGAGCCCACCTGGGTGTAGAGCCCACCTGGGTGTAGAGCCCACCTGGAGCGAAACTGGAAGTCAACGGAGAGTCAGAGCAGGCAGGAGCAACAGCGTCGTCCACTGCCCCGTGCAATAACCACATACGACACTTACAATCACAGAACTAGACCTTAGTGTAGAGCCAAGCTCACCTGAGTGTAGAGCAGGGAGCGGAACTGGAAGTCAACGGAGAATGAGAGCAGGCAGGATCCGGGGAGGCGGCCAGGGGAGAACTCCCAGTGGTTGTCGAGATGGTGGAATAGCCCCGTGTCGGTTGAACGAGCCTGAGGGAAGGGGGGAAGGGATGGGAGAGAGAAACGTTCAGAGTTGGGGAGGCAGCAGTGGTTGACGAGATGATGGAATAGACCCGTTTCAGTGGATCGAGCCTGAGAGGGATTCGAAGGGCAGAGACGCAAGGTGTGCGACGGACAGGGGGTTCTGAGCACAGGAGAGAACTGCCTGTGGTACGTGCGCGCCATGTGGTCCATGCATGATACCACCTTCCGAGGCGCTACCAACTACCAACAAAAAGCAGCACTCACAGTTACAAATACTGGCCACTGGAATGTGACTCGTGAGAGGTACTTCTCCCGCAGCATGTGGAAGCCGATCTCCAGCTCCGCCTCCATGCCGTCAGAAAATGCGCTCCTTGCTCTCCTCTCCATACACACTACCAACTGTTGAGACGCTTCATAAGCACGCACCGTCACGAACACTGGCCGCTTGTAGGTGACTCGTGAGAGGTACTTCTCCCGCAGCATGCGGAAGCCGATCTCCAGCTCCGCCTCCATGCCGTCAGAAAATGCGCTCCTTGCTCTCCTCTCCATACACACTACCAACTGTTGAGACGCTTCATAAGCACGCACCGTCACGAACACTGGCCGCTTGTAGGTGACTCGTGAGAGGTACTTCTCCCGCAGCATGCGGAAGCCGATCTCCAGCTCCGCCTCCATGCCGTCAGAAAATGCGCTCCTTGCTCTCCTCTCCATACACACTACCAACTGTTGAGACGCTTCATAAGCACGCACCGTCACGAACACTGGCCGCTTGTAGGTGACTCGTGAGAGGTACTTCTCCCGCAGCATGCGGAAGCCGATCTCCAGCTCCGCCTCCATGCCGTCAGGTGTTCGCCACAGCACGTGTGAACCCACGCACCATGGGAGGAAGTCAGAGTAGTGTTCCACCCCGGCCACCACGTCAAACACCTGCTCTGGCGTGTAGCTGTGGGTTGGGGGGAGGGGAGGAGGGTGTTGAGAGGAGTTGGACAGGGTTGAGAGGGAGGGTGGGAGTGAGAAGGGAGTGATCCCATGGATCACGGGCGAGCAGCACGTGCGAGCCCACGCACCATGGGAGGAAGGCCGAGTAGTGTTCCACCCCGGCCACCACGTCAAACACCTGCTCTGGTGAGTAGCTGGGGGGGGCAGAAGGCGGTCATGGGTCATCATGGGTCATCATGGGTCATCATGTGTCACGGGAAGAGCAGACGAGGAGCCTTGCACACTAGGCAAGGAGCAGCGCACCCACCCAATCAAGCGTTTCTCTTGGAACTTCTTGGAAGGCGACGGAAACCCCAGAAACTCTCCGCCTCCGCCGCTGCCGGCGCCACTCAGACTGCTGCTGCTACTCGACCAAGAAGCGTGCCGGATGCCTAATCCTAATCCCCCAGTACCAAGAGCAGCGAAAGCGGCGGAGGCGCGGGGCAGATTGGCGGCGATGGCGAGAGGAGAGTCGGCGGAAAGCAAGTCGGCACAATCGCTCTCGCCTCCTACGGGTCTGATCCGCTCTCCTGAGCCGAGATGGAATGGAAGGCGCGAGTGGGAGTCGATTCTCCGCCGCGTTTTGAGTCGACTCAAAACGGCAACTTCGGGTCTGATCCGCTCTCCCGAGCCGAGATGAAATGAGGCGAGTGGGTGAGAGTGGGTGTCGCTTCCTACGGGTCTGATCCGTTCTCCTGAGCCGAGGTGGAATGGAAGGGGCGAGTGGGAGTCGATTCTTCGCCGCGTACGAGAGAAGTTGTAAGAGGGGGAATGGGGATGCGCGTGCGCGTGCGCGTGCGCGAGGGGGCATGGCGGAATTGGATTGGCAGATGGAGCAAAAGCGGAGCGGATCCGTGGGGTGAAGAGAGCGGCAGCGTCCGGATTCGCTGAGTGTATTCGGGCGCTAGAAGCGAGTCTGATTGTATCGAAGCCGCGAATACTAGACGGATCGACGCTTCCGCGGAGTACTGCGTCTGGTAATCTCGAGTGATCGGATCGTGGCGATTCGGCCATTCGCTGCGGCACGAGCGACGCGAGACTGAAGGTTCTAGAATTTACATATTCGACATGCTGGCCCGCGCGACGCGATGAACTGAACAAATTCAATGGGGTTGCGCTCGAATCTCGATGCTGGATAGGAGGGCGCTGGAGTGACGTGGCTGCCGATAGACTATTAACTCTCCGCGCGATTCTCGCCGCTCTTTCCGCCGCGGGTTGCGCTGCTCTCGTAAACCCCACTGCAGTGGCGAATTCGCGGCAAAAATCATGCCGTCGATTGGTTTGTAACGAGTACAGAATCTGCTGTAACGGTCGAGAGTGGGCGCGGCAGTGGCGCATCCTCGTTAGTAACCAATTATCTATCACGATGATCCAAGTATCTAACGACGAAGACTTCCTAGTCGAGCGCTGACTCGAGGACAACAACCGAGCGTGGAAAACGGAGGTGGGAGATCGAGCCGCGTCAATATCACAACGAGCAACGGCCAGCCCTAGCAAGAGCAGGGACCTCAGAAAGCCAATCGGCACGTAGCAGCCCGCCGTAGGCATACCCGTGAATAAACAGAGTCATCAGGGTAGCTACGTTATTGGATGGAGCCCAATTGGTCAAATGGTCGAAGCAACTTCTTAACTGAATATAGAAATATTTTCAACACTTTCAGTGGTGGATTATCTGGATTCAAACTTACAAGCGTAATGTTAATTCACTGAGTGAATACAGTCCAAGCCATTGACCTAAGAGCAAAACCTACCCAAGCCACAAGTGCGCCTACTCTCTCTACCCACATAAACGGGTGGCTGGATCTCATTCGACAAAGACTGCAGAGAACTTTTCTTGAAGCCCTCTGCTGGACCTCCAACCCCTGAATCAGGAGCACAAGTGCCACCATTGCCACCACTGGTACCACTACCAGTGGTGGTAGTGGTGGTACTGGTATCAGGCATGGTGTGGATACGGGGGGAACCCCAGGGGTTAAAGGCCATGAAGCAGCGGGAAGCTGCTTGGAAGGAGAGAGCTGAGGAGGCTCCGCACATGGTGCTGCTGCTGTTGCTGAACTCATCCCCTGACAGGGATGATCCCACAGGGCAGTGCACCTGCTGCTGCTGTTGCTGATGGTAGCGGTGCTTATGCTGCTGCTTCTCGTGTGAAATCGGGGCGGCGACAAGCGGGACAGGCCGAGGGGAGAACCATGGTGAGAAAGCCGAGGGAGTTTCCTCAAACTCCTTCCTCATGCTGCTGCTCCTGCTGCTGTTGCTGCTGCTGCTGCTTGAGGGTCAACTGTGCGGCGGTGGGAGGGAGAGGGCGAGGGGAGAACCAGGGCGACCCAGGAACAAACGCCTCCTCATACTCCTCCCGGCGGCTCTTCTTCCGGCACACTGCAATGGGCGGTGGGCATAGGCTCAGCGGGATGGAAAGCGACGCGTCAGCACCCATGCCATCCGGAGCCATTCCACCCGCAGCCATGCCATCAGTGCCACCAGCCACATCCGCCATGCCGCCATAACCGTCCATGTCTGCTGCTTCCATTTGAGCGAAGGTCGATGCTGACGTGGCAGTGGAGTTCGAGAGAGATGGGTAGAGAGGCGGCGGGGAGGAGTGGGAAGTGGTGGAGTGCGAGGCGGAGGAGTGTGGGGTGGACTGGGACGCAGAGGACTGTGACGGGCAGGGGGAGGTGAATGACGGGCAGCCTGAGAACGAAACTGTTGGCGCGGGCAGGTTAGGCGGTTGTTGCGGGGGAAGGGGAGGTGCGTTTCCGCAAAGAGGAAAGGGGGTTTTGAGAGCGGTGCAGGCCGGTGCTGGAGGGGACGGGATGGATGGATGGCATGGTGGGAGCTGCTGTGGAAGGTCCTGTTTCTGCCAGACCTTATTGAATCGCTCTGTAGCGGAACCGAGAGGTGGCTGGGCGATGGGGCGAATGGGAATAGGCGACCCTACAGGGCGAGCAGGAGAGGCAGGGCGAACGGGAAAAGCAGCGGAGCGGAGAGGGGAGGCGACGCGCGGGGCAGTGGGTGGAGCGCAAGGAGAAGCGGCTGGGGGGACGATGGGCGGAGGCACAGCGCTGCTGGGAACCATCTGCGCGTTACCCTCCGCCTGCTGCTCCGCTTGCTGCTCCGCTTGCTGCTGAATCTCCTTCTCGTTCGCACCAATCCCCCTCTCTCTCTCCTCTTCTCCCTCACCCTTCGAATCCGCACGGCACGGCGCCGTTACTGCGACCGCCGGCTTTAACTCCGCTTGCGCTTTCACTGCAACAACCTTTTCCGCCGAACCCGCCGCATCCGCCACCATAACCACATCCGCTGCCGCGTCTGCCGCCGTGAGTTCCGGCAGCTCGAGCCCGAGCACCCACGGGTGCTGCAGCACTTCCGCCGCCTTGAGCCGCCTGCGCGGATCAACCTCCAGCATGCGCCGCACCAAGTCCCGCGCGCCCGCGCTCACGGGCGCCCACGCGGGCGCGGAGAAGTTGATCGCCCCGCGGAGAATCGACCTCCGCAAGCCCTCCGCGTCCGTGCGGTCCTTCCCCGCGAAGGGTACGCGCCCCGTGAGCATGGCGCAGAGCACTACCCCCATGCTCCACACGTCCGCGCGCTTGCCGTATTTGCGCCCGCGGACCATCTCCGGCGCGGTGTAGAAGCGGCTGCCCGCCATGCCGTGCCCCATCTGCCCGTGCGGGAGGAAGAGCGCAAGCCCGAAGTCCGCCACGCGCACCCGCCAGCGCCACGCGGCGGCGGAAGAATCCCCGGAATCTTTCCGCGAGCATTCCGCGGCCACGGATTCTGCGCCGAATTCCGCGCCGGAATCTGCGGCGGGTGCGGGCTGGTTGGGGCCTGTAAAGAGGATGTTTTCGGGTTTAATATCGCGATGCAGAACGCCGCGCGCGTGGCAGTACGCCACCGCGAGCGCCACCTGGCGAAAGATCTCCCGAGCCATGTCCTCCGGCATGCCCGCTGCGTGATCGGATTTGATAAGCTCGAATAGATCTCCGCCCTCGCACAGCTCCATAACGAGGTACACCGCGGCGCCGTCTTCTAGCGCCTCGACGAGCTGCACGATTCCGCCGTGGCGGCTCGGGCCCGCGGCGGTGAGCTGCTGCAGAATCGCGACCTCCTTGCGCACCTCCGCGGCGTCCGACTCGGAGGTGATTAATCGCTTGTCAATTCGCTTGCAGGCGAACTGGCGACCCGTCGCCTTGTGCGTGCATTCTAAGACCTCGCCAAACGCGCCCTTGCCTAAGTGCCGGCCTAGGGAGTACTCGGTGAGGAAATCCCGAGGGGGTGGAGGAGTGGAGGGAAGAGGCACCGTCATGGCTACAGGTGTGGGAAATCGGCTAAAATTAAAAGAAACGTGTCGAAGCGCGAGAAGACTTAAATTCGCCGAGCAGGGATTGTGACTGTCTGTCTTGAGCTACTTCTGGCGCTGATTCTAGCGCTAGAGAAACAAACGAGAACGAACGCGTTTAGGCTAAAAGAACAACAAGCCTCCAACTGTGCTGTGGGTCGTAAGAAGAGAGCCGGCGACAGCGACAGATTGCCTTACACGAGAAGTAAACTACGGGCTGCACGACCTGGTCGTTGCAGCTGTTTTGGTCTGGAAGAAAATCGGAATGGGTTGACTGGCTGCTGGTGTTTCGGTTTGGTTTGGCAACGCTTCGCTTGTTTGCGTGGGAGGGAAGAAAAAGAAGCTTGCGTGTGGGCTGGGCTGGGCTGTGCTTGGGTGACTGCGTCACGTCTGCGCTGCAAATGTGCCGTGTGTTGATCTGCGCGGGCACCGTCTCTTGCGGCAGTGTAGGTGTGGGGCGGGTGTGGGGCTGCTGTGGTGAGCGACGAGAATGCGACGGCTTGGACTGGATAATTGGAACGTAACGATACGAGTTTTGAAACTGCCTATCGAGTGGTTTTATGGGTCGGCGACACAGATGTGCGACGAGCAAGCGATGTGTCGGTGTACTCTGGTTCGCAGTCGCACACTCTTCCTCGGTGCTTCGGCGAACGAGCACGAGTATCCAATCAGAGCATTCGCTCGTTCGGTGGCGACGATGCATTGCATTATTGTGGGTGCGGTGCGGTGCCAGCCATGCCATCCTATCCTTTCCCAGCTGTTGGCGTCATTGCCTTATTGACCCCCAGTTGACCCCCATCGCATCTTGCGCAAGCTCCGCTTGTTGGTCTTGGGCACATGAAACTCCGCCAAGTGACTGGGGCTATTGGCGGGCGGCCGGCGGTGGGCTGTGGCGCAGCTTCCCACGCGCGCGCCCATAACCTGGAGAGGGGAGGCGCACCACCGCGGAGCGGATGTCTGTTTGCAGACGAGATGCGAACCGACCAACCGCGAATCAGGGTGGGAAGGAGCTGGTGCTGAGCGTGCAGTCAGCATTCTTCACCGACTGGGGGGACTGGGCAAATCCGAGCCTGCCCACTACTACCACACTGAAGGACACCAAACCACACAAAACCGTTGGTTCCTCCAACGCGAAAGACCGATTGGAAACGCGGCTTGAGAAAGTCGCTGAATGCATCACCTCTTGCAATTGGCTGTTTCTAGTTGAAACACGCGTCGTGCTGAGGGGGCGAGGGTCAGGGGATCTTTTCGCTGGTGACTGGTCCGGGTCCGGGGCGGACTGGGGGCTCGCGGTAAATCCGAGGTTGCACATGCGACTCGGGGGACGTTCATCCCATGCGATGCTGCTTTGCTGTTTCTGCTGACCTGCAGGTTGACCATCATCCCTGCTGGGATCATTGAACGTGCTTGCGAATTCTGTATGGTCAGAGCAGATGTCCACAGAAATGTTTCGTCAAAGTGGAAACCGAATTCGCTCGCCGCCAGCGCCACCTCGCCTCGCCGTCACTTCCAGCAGAAGTGTGTGCCGCTTAGCCGACTCGCTCTCCAGCGTGCCAGAGAAGGCAACGGAAATTCCCTATCAGATGGCTCGCATTTTCCCAAGTTCGTTTTGCATACATGGTTCAACAAACTCTGTATGAAAAATTAACCTCGACTGGTAAGATGGAGAGAAGATGCAACAATAACGTTCGTGGATATATTTTGCAAAAAATAATTACGGAAATCTCCCAACACTCTTGGTTCGCGGCAGCCCACCACCACCATTTTTCACTGGATAGCCTTGCATCAAGGTTCGCATGGATATGGATAGAAAGAGGAAAAGGGAAAGAGGGAGAAGGAAAAGGGAAAGAAAGACACCAGAAACAACTCAAACGCAACACCCATAAAAAGCCCCATAAAAATGCTCCATAAAGAAAAAAAAACCCAACCAGGATCCCTTACCAAACGTCCCATCTCGCACCCCATTCCCCCTCGCCCCCCCCCCCCCCCCCCCCCCCCCTCCCCCCCCAAGTCACATCTGCACATCCACCATGTAGGGGGCCTCCACCCAAAGAGGCCCGCCCTCCACCTCGACATCGTCCCTCTCCCGATCCACCAAGTCCACATTCAACCCCCCCATGGAAGACGCCGCCCGAAGCAGGATGACACGAGCTTGCGCCCGTTATAACACCATTCCGATGAGCGCCTTCAGAGACCCCAAAAGGTAAGCCGAGAACGAAGTGTCATCCTCCCGACAAGCCCCCCGTGACACAGCTAGCCCCACGTGCGCGTCCCCCTGCTGTCGAAGCCACCGCCGGAAGCGACCGCCGAGACACCCCCACGTCTCCACTATCAAAGGGGTGAACTGCACGCCTCGGTTCCGTGCAAGAAGAGGCGCGTAATCCCCCGTTTTGCGACGCTCCCACTCCTTTGCCGCCACGCCTATAGACCGCCCGCACTGCCCTAGCAGAGATGGAGACAGTGATAGCGGGTCCGCGACACTAATCTCTAAAGCATGAGCCTCCCCAGCCATTGGTCGTCGCACCGCTACGTCAACCCGCTTCCCCGGCAGCACCGCACTATCCTCCATCGTCACCACCCCCCCTGACGCCTTAGCGATCTTTGCCACCGCAAACTTCACCTCATCATGCACCCGAGATGGACCGTGTTGGTGCTTGCATCTCAGCGCATGATGCGGGTCTGCTGGGTCATCATACGCTGTGCCACAAACACACCTCCCCGCCACTTGCAGCTGCTGGATTGGGAGACCAAGCCGTATAGCAGCAGCAATGCCCCACTCCGCTGCAGTGAATGTGAGATCTGAATGAGCCGGAACTGCCGAAACCCATGCACCAGCCCCCGGGCCCTGAAGGGATGTGAAACGGGCCAGGGTGGCATCGTCACGAGCCAAGCGGCGGAGTGCCTGGAGCTCCTCAACAGCCAACTGCCGCTGCCGCGCCTGGAAAAGCCGAAGAGGAGGGGCCGCCACACACAGGGGTAAGTCCGGCAGCTCCTGGCGTATAGTCGCGGGCAACTGCTCAATGGCCTTGGCAAACCACGGGTCAAGAAGCTCCGCCCCCGCCGAAGTGGTGAGGTACTCTGCGAACATCGCCTCCTCGCCCGCCACCCCCAAATGTGCAATATCCCGTGCGGCCTGCGCCCACCCACAAACATAGGAGAGCGGACTCAAAGAGGCCGCCGCCCGGATCCCAAACCCTCCGAGGCGCACAGGGAGATGCAGCTGCATGCGTGCGCGCCTAGACCTGCCGGGGTCCTGCTCCCAAGTGCCAGGGGGGAAAAGCTGCTCAAAGCAATCCTCCAGACAGCTGTCCCACTCTCTAAAGGCCTCCACCACCTCCGGCCGCGGCGGCATAGTCCGGGCCAGGTACATCGGCCGTGCTGAAACTGCAATAGCGAGGAGATGCGAGGCCATCTGGGGGTGGTCGAGCAGGGGGAGCCACGGCAATGGCGCCTGCAACTCGCGAAGCCGCTTCCGTAATCGGGCCCCCTCCCAATCCTCCTCCCCAATAGGCACGCCCACCACAGTGAGACCCTCCTCCTCCCGCTGCATCCCCAAAGGCAATGCCCGCTCCATATCCCCACCTCCACGCTCCCAAAACCTGCACTTGTGCGCCTGCACTTCCAGCCCCACCCACTCCAACCTCTCCCGCAGCACCCCAAAAGCCTCCAGAATCCTAGCCGCTGGTCCCAGGATGTAGGTATCGTCTGCATAGCTCAAGAAAAGTAGGTCCCTAAAATCTCTAGTCACCGTCCCCAGCACCTGCTGCTGCGTGAAAGCGAAAAGAAAAGGGCCGAGCGGGTCCCCCTGTCGCGATCCTCGTGCCGACTCAAGACTCTGTACGAAAGGGCCCGCTCGGAGGTACAGGTCGCTAGGTGTCCCATAGAAGACACGCAAGAATGGGATCATTCCTGAGAAAGGCGACTCCTTCAGCCCCTCGAACATCGCGTGGCGATGAAACGAATTGAAGGCGTTCGCGACATCTATCTGCAGCGCACACCAGTCGGGGTGAGTGGCCAGCGCTGACCGGAAAGAATGAGTAAGAATCTCCACCCCGGCCCTGGTGCCCACTCCCAGCTGGTTACACGGCAGAAAATAAGAAGCCATCACAGGGCGAAGCGAGATGCAGAGAGCTCGAGCGAGGATACGCGGAAGCACCTCCCCGATCGCCACCGGCCGGACGTCACCGTTGGGTTTGGAAAGCCCGACTAGGTTGGATGCGGCGAGCCAGGGCCGAGCTCGCTCGGGGACCTGTCCCGCCACCCATTGGTTGAACACTTCCAGCAGGTGGGAGAGGCAGGAAGGTTCCGTGAGGAAAGTGTCGTGCAGGCAGATGCTCTGTGACCCATCCCGATGGCCCTGCAGCTGAGGCGCGAGCAGCTGTGTGGATAGCTCTAGCCAGGATGTCGGTCGTGAGTGGAGGCCGCTGAGGAGCGTCGACAGTAAACTCACGAACCCACGGTGGTACCTCGCCACTGCTAGCTGGGTGCTTCCCTCGCAGCGACTGCACCATAGCCTCAAACGGTCGAGCCAACTCTCCTACTGTGAGGCAAGCCAAACCACGGCTCCACTCTCCCACTTTACACCGAGATCGGCACCGTGACAGGCGGATGGCCTTTGGGTCCTGGTCAGAGCACGTGTAGGCAAGTGGGCGAACTGCTGGCCGTGCCGCCGCCATGGCAGCGTCGAACAACTCCCGCCACCTCCCCTCCCAGAAGGCCCCCAGCCGCTCTATGATCAGCGCCTTCTGACCTATGCCTGGCTTGGGAGGCACGGCTAGGATGAGGCGCGGAAACGCCAGGAGTAGGAGGGTAGCAGCTTCATCTCCCGGTCGGCTCTTCAGCCGCTTCAAGATGCAACAGAGTGCGTCTAAGACCCCGGACCGGGCCCGCTGCGGGATCCGGCGCACTGTCCTCCCTCCAACCGCCTCCACACAGAAAAATGCCTCCCACTCCCATGACTTAACCCCTGCCCACGCCTCGTCCCCAAATTCCCGTGGCGTCGGTCGCTCCTGTGTGCGTCTCTCCGCCTCAGCCGCCCGGCATACCCTCATGTGGTTCGCAGCGGCCCCTCTCGTGGCGAAAGTGTGAAAACACGTGTCACACGGGAAACGGGGGCATGGGGAAGGCGGACTGGGTGGTTCTCCGTCCGCCTCTGACTCCTCCGCAGTCGCCATGGGGGTATCAAACTCCAAAAGTCGGCACCACTCCTCCAACTGCTGTTCCCGGTCGTCCATCGATCCCCCCCCTGCCTGCTGCGTACCCTGGGGTGCCCCGGGCACCCTCGGCTCCCCTCCTGCCTGCTGCACTCCCTGGGGTGCCCCGGGCACCCTCGGCTCCCCTCCTGCCTGCTGCACTCCCTGGGGTGCCCCGGGCACCCTCGGCTCCCCTCCTGCCTGCTGCACTCCCTGGGGTGCCCCGGGCACCCTCGGCTCCCCTCCTGCCTGCTGCGCTCCCTGGGGTGCTCCGGGCACCTCCGGCTGCCCCCCTGCCTGCTGCGCTCCCTGGGGTGCTCCGGGCGCTCTATGGGGTCCCCCTGTCACCCCCGGCTGCCCCCCTGGCTGCTGCACTCCCCGGGGTGCCCTAGTCCTCTCCGCCCGACCACCGGTCTGCCACCCTCCCTGGGTTGCCTCTGTCGCCTCCGGCACCTCCCCGGCCTGCAGCACCCCCTGAGGCGCCCTTGTCGACCCCTGCTGACCCCCTGGCTGCTGCTCGCCCTGGGATGCTCCTTGCAACTTGGCTGCGTGTCGTCTCCCTCTTCGGCCCCGAGCTCGCGACCTTTTCGCTTGGCCTGCGCCGCCCGGGCTAGCGACCCCCTGCTGAACCCGCGCCTGTTGCTCTTGCAACCCACTGATCGGCTCTTCAAGTTGCATGCTTCTACGCTCTTGGGGCCGGTTCCTTTCTCGACACCCTTGCTGCTCCCCTTCTTGCGGCTGAGACTGATTCTCCGTTTGACACCCCTCCTGTACGCTTCCCTGCCGCTCTCCCCCCCCCTCCTCCTGTGCCTCCTCCATCTCCACCTCCAACACCTGCGGCCACTCAGCTTGCAGCCCAAGCTGTCTCTCGACCTGCTGCTCCGTTACCATTCCTATCTCTATCTCCATGTCCACTTCCGACTCCTGCTCCCCCCCAGCCTGCGGGTCTTCCTTCCCCTCTGCCGGCAGCTCTTGCTGCCTCGTTGCCTGCGGCTCCTGCTGCCCTCGAGCCTGCAGCTCTTGCTGCCTTTCAGCCGGCAGCTCCTGTTGCCCCCCCATCTCCATCACCATCACCGCCTCCGAAGCCTGCTGCCCCTCGACCTGCCGGTCCTGATCCCACCCAGCCTGCGACTCCTGCTGCCCCCCAGCCGGCCCCTCTTGCTGCCTCCCAGCCCGCAGCTCCTGCCGCCTCCAGGTCGGCCCCTCTTGCTGCCCTCCAGCCTGCAGCTCTTGCTGCCCTCCAGCCTGCAGCTCTTGCTGCCTTCCAGCCGGCAGCTGCTGCTGCCCCCCCATCTCCATCTCCGCCTCCAAAGCCTGCTGCCCCTTTGTCTGCGGCTCCTGCTCCTTCCCAACCTGCGGGTCCCATTCAACCCCAGCCTCCAGCTCCTGCTGCCTCCCAGCCTGCAGCTCCTGCTGCCTCCCAGCCTGCAGCTCCTGCTGCCCCCCAGCCTGCAGCTTTTGCTGCCTTCCAGTAGGCAGCTCCCATTGCCTCCCCATCTCCATCTCCAACTCCAACGTCTGCTCCCCCTCAGCCTGCAGGTCCTGCTCCCCCCCAGTCTGCGGGTCCTGCTCCCCCCTAGCCTGCGGCTCCTGCTCCCCCCCAGCCTGCGGCTCCTGCTGCCCCCGGGCTTGCGGGCCTCGCCGCGCTCCTTCCCCTTGACCCCGCGGAACTCCTGATTTGCGCCTCCGTTCCTGTCTTCGGGCTAATCGGGGACCAAGTGTCGCTGAGTTGTCGCATTTAGTGAGTGCCGGGCGTGCTAAAGGGGTGTTAAGTTCTCGCCGACGCTTGTCATGCGACTCCTGTAGACGCTGGCGATGTGCCTCCCAAGCTGCCATCGCCGCGTCGGAGGTGTTGCCTTGCCTGTGCTCTCCATTGCCACTTTCGACCACTTCTCTAGTGGCCACGCCTAGGTCGGTATCGAGGCGTTGCCTCTTGGTCAGATTGTCGTGGAGGCACCTAGTGACTTTGTCGCACATGCCGCGGACGAGTGGTCCCTCCTGCTGCTCCGTAGGCTCTCTCCCCCTCTTGTGCCCGGCTATTGGGCAGGTCGCCTTTGAAGTCATCGTTGTCATTCCTTCCTCCGTGCTTCCGGTGGCCCATTTCGCCTTGCCGTCACGTCCTCCTCCCTCCCGGACCCCGGCATCCCCGGGGTCCGGGCTGTCTTCCATGGTTCCGCTGTGACGTCACGTGTCTCGATGTCGGGGCGTGGATCCCGCACCTGGGCAGCCGGTCTCAATGTGGGGGCGCTGATTTGCAGCGCCGGATCTGAGGCTCGTCCTAAGCGGCGATTTCGCTGGCTGGCGCGCTGCAGAGCGTCCTAAGCGGCGATTTCGCTGGCTGGCGCGCTGCAGAGCGACCTAAGCGGCGATTTCGCTGGCTGGCGCGCTGCAGAGCGACCTAAGCGGCGATTTCGCTGGCTGGCGCGCTGCAGAGCGACCTAAGCGGCGATTTCGCTGGCTGGCGCGCTGCAGAGCGACCTAAGCGGCGATTTCGCTGGCTGGCGCGCTGCAGAGCGTCCTAAGCGGCGATTTCGCTGGCTGGCGCGCTGCAGAGCGACCTAAGCGGCGATTTCGCTGGCTGGCGCGCTGCAGAGCGTCCTAGGCGACCAACACTCTTGGTTGATCTTCTGAGATTATGTTCCTACATTGATTTTGTTTCTGTACATGTGTTGGTTATAAAACATGTACTTCCCTGTTGACCGGAATCTCATAACCATGTTCTTATGCGGTTTAGATTGTAGATATAGTTGATGAGAGTTTGGATGTCTGACATTCGAGAATCTGTTAGAAGGTTATAACGAATATATGTCAGCCTTACAAACAAAACCACGGATGGTGTTGCACCGTTTCCCTCTCGCAACCTCCACTCTTGCACTCCATTTCCTCTGATTCGCGCCGCCACGACCTCCCACTTTTTGCGTTCACACATTATAATAGAGGGGCCGGATTGCACATGGACGGGCGGATCTAAGCTTCCAGGAAACGCCACAGGAGAGTTAGTGAGCCGTTCTCCCAGCCACCGTCGGTAGCGGCTGTTAGGGTTTCTCATCCGAAGACCTGGTTCCCGTACCCCACAGATCAGCATGAGTAGATCGGGTCAAGCTCCCGATTTGAAGAAGTAAGCAGTTTGCGTCGCCCTAATCGCATTCGTATTTTTGTTATCGCTGGCTTTTCGTCGATTTCCTTTATTTTGGTCACATGACCGACTTCCCGCGGTTGCAGCGAATAGGAGAAAGCCCGACTCACGATGAAGAATAAAAACAAAGCTTTTTTCTTCCAACCCTAATTTTCCCCGTTATCTCTGGAAGTTGCCTGTTCATCCATTTGCAACTTGCGTTCCCCAGAATCCTCGTGTAGTCATAGCTAGCTCAATCGCGGATTGAGAACGCTGGCATTCGCGCTTCCTACACCTTTCTACGATCTTTCAATATTTCTCTACCTTTCCCTTCCCTTCCCCCCCCGATCTCCTCCGTTCCTGTTCGCGTCCCCCTCCTCCCTTCCGGGCCCCCTGTCTCCCCGTCTCCTCCCCCCCCGCCCCCTCCCCCTCCCCCCTTCCCCCTCACCGACTCGACGCAGGTACATGGACAAGAAGTTGAGCAGTGAGTTTCGCTGCACCTTCGCTGCAGTCTCGCTCCACTCTCGTTCCACTATCGCTGCACTCCCTCCCCCCACATTGCTTTTTAATTCTTTTGTCAAGAGCACAGGAGCATTCAGTTCCTGCTGCTATTCAGTCGCACTGCCAATTGGCTCTCCTCGTGCTTGCACATTTACTTTCCTGGGTCATTCGCTCACTCCTGAAGCTGCTCCCTCACTCACGCACTGGGTTTTGTTCCCTCACTCACGCACTGAGTTTTGTTCCCTCACTCACGCACTGGGTTTTGCTCCCTCACTCGCGCGCACTCATCTACCCAGTCATGCACTGACTCTCGTGCGGCCGCTCTTTCTCGCAACTCACTCAGTGATCAACGCAATTTACATATCACTCCATCCGCCGCATCCCCCCCAAGCTCTTCTATTAGAGTTATCCAACACCATCCCTGTGCTTCTCCTGTCGCTTCCTCCTACTTATACCCTTCTTTCCATCTATGACATGTCATGATTGCTTCCACCACTCTTTTTCGTACTCTTTTCCAATCCCCTTCCCTCGTCACTTTCCCCCACCTCTCCTTCCTCTTCCTCCCCCCGCTTCCTTCCCCCGCTCGGCCCACCCATTCTGCCTGCGTGCAGTAAAGCTGAACGCGAATCGCACGGTGGTGGGGGTGCTGCGGGGCTTTGACCAGTTCATGAACCTCGTGATTGACAACACTGTGGAGATGAGCGGCGACGACAGGACCGACATCGGCATGGTGGTCAGTGCCCTTGCCTTCGCCCCCATGCCTCCCTGCAGTGCCTCGCTGCAGTGCCTCTTTGCAGTGCCTCCCTGCAGTGCCTCCCTGTGTATCTTTTCTTCGTCTTGTTGTTTATCATGTCTCCCTCCCTCAATCCCTCCCTCCCTCCCGCCCCTCCACTCCCTCCCTCCCTCTCTCCCTCCCCCACTCCCTCCGTCTCTCTCTCCCTCCCTCCCTCCCTCCCTCCCTCCCTCCCTCCCTCCCTCCCTCCCTCCCTCCCTCCCTCCCTCCCTCCCTCCCTCCCTCCTTCCCTCCCTCCCTCCCTCCCTCCCTCCCTTACTCCCTCCCTCCCCCCCCCCCCCCCTCCCTCCCTCCCTCCCTCCCTCCCTCCCTCCGTCCGTCCCTCCCTCCCTCCCTCCTCCCCTCCCTCCCTCCTTCCTCCCACCCACTCATGCCTCCCACTACCTCTTCCCCTTCCATCTCACCCCCTAACCCCCTCCTTCTTCCCCTCTCTCATCCAGTGCTCGCCTTTCTCGCCTGACGATCCCTTATGGTGCCCCGCCTTGCTTCCCCTTTGTTTCCCCCATGACCGCCCTTCTCCCCTTCCTTCCCCATCTGCTGATGTGCCTTTCTTGCTCTCTTTTGCATATGCTTGTTAACACTGTTTCTCTCGCCCCTCTCTGCTTTGTTTCATGGTCTCTGTCTGTGCTTTCTGTCTTGTTCTTCTGTAGGCCCTACCTAGAACCGAAATGAACTGGGTTCATGTCTACTCAGGCTGCCTTAACCCACCTGTGTGCCTGCATTTGTGTACTCACAATCCGTGTGTGTGCCTGCGTTCTGCAGGTGATTCGCGGAAATAGTGTTATCATGATTGAAGCTTTAGAGAGTGTAAGGTAGTGATGGTCCTGGCCTGGTGCGGTCATTTTGAAACACACCCTACGATGCGTTGTGTACTGTAAGTTTTATCTTGCTATTCTGACTTACTAACGCCTATCCTTGTTGCCAGAATGCAAGGCATAGCTAATGCTGTAAGCTTGCATTCTATTGCTTATGTTGATAATCACCTTGCCCGTGTGGGAGAGGCTTGTTGTATCGGGTGGTGAGTGATTTGTGAATTCTATTTGCATTATAGAATGTAGGTACCGTATCTCATCTAGTTCTCCAAGGCCTCCGGAAGACTAGAGTAGGTCTGATCTGACTGCATCTACAATATTTCCGCTTTGGTCTCCTATACATATTGCCAAGCGTAAATCATGCTGGTTGCAGAAAGAGTTCCGCTAGGTAGGAGCATCATTCTAGTTGACAAATTTTTCAATAACATTGCTCAATTCTGGTTTGGACAAGCCACCTCTAACCGATTATATTTCAAGCACCACCTTCGCATCGCGTCGACCCTGACAGGAAGCATCTCCCGCCAAGCATAGCCGTTTAAGCTCAACACCGCCGTTTTTCCAGCCGCTAGTTTCCCGTACTCACAATTGTTTTAGTCCACTGGGGTCACACCTCAGCCAGCTGACACTTACACATTATGTCGCGGAAAGGGTAATTTTGAAACAATAATCACACAGTGCTAAAAATCTAGCAATGTGTGATTATTGTTCCACATTTCCCGCCTGCAGCAAGCCCCAAAAGTCATGCTCGGACCACCCTACTTCCATTCTCCCTCCTTGTCGCGCGTCCCATATCCATATCCTGGCAGACATTCCTCAGCAAATTTACGTATATCTCGGCACTAATGTGCAGATGTCACCGTGAGGATCATAGCGAAGGATCGTTGATAGCCAGTGAAACGTGTCATTTGACGTCACGCGTTCGCCATGGCATCGTCGCTGGGAGCTGCTGGCGATCCCATTGGCGAACTGAGAGGGGCGAGCGAGCGACGCGTTCAGAGGAGGCGCACGAACGATGGACGTCAGGACGACGCTGACCCTGAAGGCAAGGACCTGCATTCCTAGCGGAGCTTCATCGAAACGCGACGCACTCCCTTGGTTCTTGCCTCCCGTGCTTTCGCGAGCCAGCTCAGAAAAAAAGGCTTTTATACTTTATGTCCGACATCTGCGGTAGAATATCCATAGTCATCATCATTGCATTTCAATCTGGCAGTTTTTGTCACTCCCTTCGACCTTCATTCCTCATCATGGAAGCGAGGGTGACTCTAAAGTCGTTAGTTTTCGGTCGTCCCAATTTAAAGGAGTCCTAGTCGTTGAAGCAACTTCTGCTCTCTCAGCATCGCAGCATAACACTCTTCTCATCCCCGTCCCTATACTCCGTCCATAACTCCGCCTGTATACATCTATATTTCCCTCCCTCTCTCTCTCTTCCTCTCCCTCACACTCTCTTTCTCTCGCTCCCCCTCCCTCTCCCTCTCTCCCACCCTCTCCCCCGCTCCCTCCATCTCCTTCTCTTTCTTCCTCGGCCTCTCGCTTCGCCTACTATTACGCAATTACAGACCAGGGAAGCGACCTGATCGACGCGCTCCCAGCGAGAATCTGGCACCGCATCTTCCACCTGCTGCTGGAGCGCCCCTGCACCGCCACCCCTCCGCACTCCGCGGGCGGCCGCTACTACTGCCGCGCGCGCAGCACGGCGCAGCGAGCAGTGGTCAATCCCAGAGGCACCGGCGATGCCGCCGCTGGTGGGACTGCCGGCGGCGCCGCTGATGGTGCTGGCAGTAGTGCCCCACGGGGCGCTGAGAATCGTGCGGCTGTGCCCGTGTTCGTTAATCCCGGGGTGTCGCCGTGCTGGCTGCATGCGCGCAACGCTCGAACGTTCGGCTCCTCGTGGCCCCTGCTGTGCTGCGCACTCGCCAGCAAGAGGCTGCTTAACCACGTTGTCTCCTTCTCTGTGGGTGCTCCTCTCGTCCTCTGCCCATTTACGCCCTCTCCTGCTGAATGCCGCTCATCCACACACTCTCACCAGGAGCTACTGATGATACTGTTCTGAATCACCACGCACTCTCACCACGCTCTGAATCGTTCTCTCCCAGTGATACTGATTTCCAGGAGCTATCTCCATGTCTTCTACCTCTTCACCTCGCAGTTGCATGTATCTCTGTCCATCACTCCCTTGCGTGGTAGCGTGTGCATTCTCTCCCTCTTTCTCTCGCTTCTGCTCTCACTGCAATGTCGGAATTGCTCTTAATGAGCTCCACTCTCAACTGCTCACACCACCCGCTTGATGTGCCCTTTTCTTTTCCTCCCTCCCTCCCTCCCTGCCTCCCCATCACCCACCAGGCGCAAGGCACGCCCATGAGTCTGCACCTCAGCCCCGCCCAGCCCCAGTGGACCACCAGCGTGCGCTGGCTGCTCTCCCGCTCTCCCGGCCTCCCCTCCATCCGCCTCTCCTTCTCCCACCCCTCCCTCATCCCCCTCATCCGCCGCTCCTTCACTCTCCCCTCCTCTCCAGCCTCCTCCTCCCTCTCATCCCTGCAACTAAGCTTGGGTGTTAGAGAGAACTTTACAGAAGAGGATTACAACCAGAGCGACTGGAATCTAGGCTTTCTCAAACACTGCTCCTCCTTCCACTCCCTCACACTCGGGCGTGGGGCCTGGCGCTTGGGTAGAAGCTGCCTCACCGCCCCCTGGATGCAGTCCCTCCGGAGCTTAACCCTAAAAAATGTGGATCCCAGGGGGATTTCTCTTAAAGCCCTGGCTGCCATTTCCCCTCAGCTGCACGAGTTCTTGTTCTGCGAGCCGTGGAAGCTGGAGGAGGAGGGAGGGGAGGACTGCAAAGGACTGGTGCTGCTGGCGCTCGAGTTCCCCAGGGCTCGCCGCCTCTCCTTCCGCTTCCTCACCCACGAGCTCAAGCTGAAACTCGCCCTTTCCCACGACTCCCTCACCTCCTTCTCAGCCTGCGCCCAGTCTCTCACTCTTTCCTGCCGCTCCGCCCGTCCGCTCGCGTTGACCCAGCTGTTGCTGTTTGGGGAGGAACGAATCCATATTGCTTCTTTCAAGGTTGCCTCTGTCCGTGCGCTTTACCTCAATGGTCCGATTAACCTGCTGCCTCCACGCCCACACCGCATCCCAGCTGACGTTCGGAAAGCCATGGAGATTTGTGGTGACTCCTTTATGTATCTTCCGCCGCCGCAGCCTTTTGCATGGGCAGACTGGCTGCAAGTATTCGCGCCATCGGTGGAGCTGCTTATAGCGAGGCATGACATTGACCTTGAAACTTGCAGGTTCCCCTGGCCACAGCTACAGAGCCTCGGGATTGTCGTGGCGAGCGATTACGATGTGGTGAACCCAGTGCGAGGGGAGATGGCGGTGGAAGATGTGAAGAGAGCAGATGGGGATGAGATGATCAAGTGGACGAGAGCGCAGAGAAGGAAGGAGCAGGTGGAGGAGAGGGAGACGGAGTGGAGGATGAGGAATCAAGGGCTCACTCGGTTTCATGCCGGCCCGTTTGGCAACCAGCTTTCTGATGATGATGATGATGATGGCGATGATGGTGCTGATGATGATTATGGTTCAATGGAACGAGCGACGCCTTCGCGCAGATCCACTTCCTCTCGAATATGCACCCCTCCGAGCATCAATGCTCCGAAGCTGCAGACCATCTTCTTCCCAGCTCGCCGCAACACACCAAGAGCCTTGCTAGCAGATCTTAAGGCGAGGTATCCGTCTCTGGCGCTGTTCTGTGTTGCAAAGCAGACGTGGTACTGGGAGAGGAAAGGGGTGAGGGCGGAGCGTGGGCCGGTGGCGCATGTGAGGGGGCCAAGAGGAAGGAAGAGCACTGCGTCATTTAGGAATGGGCGGAAGACGGTGCGGGACAAGATGCACAGTGTGAATCGCGGGTTGATGGAGGGGTACACACTGGATGAGGAGGAGTGGTTTATGGTGGAAAGACGGAATTGGAAGCCGGTGGTTGGTGAAGAGGAGCGGGAGAAGGATCGTAATGATAGGGATGGTGACGAGTTTGATGACGAATATAATGAGGATTAGGATGACTGGGGATGGGGAGTAGAAGGCAGTGCGAGTGCATTTCTGCCACATGGTTATTTTTTCTTGCCGGCCACCTGAAGTACCGTTTGCTGTCTGTTCACTCAACGAAGCAAACCCACTATAATGCATGCAAAATGTACATCCCTATAACGGGCTGGCACATTGCATTCCTGTAGTGAAAAAGGTCAATAGGGTCAGAGGCCTAGGCAAGCGTTGAGTATTTTTTAATATTTTAATTAGCGAAACATGCAGAACGGAGGCTTGTGGTTTGGTCTGGAGGGTAGCGTTGGTCATCTCACCGTTTCAGACCATTGCACACCCCCGGGGGGGGAGGGGGGATGGGGGTCACACACCAGTTTCCGCGCAGCAGCTTGCGCATTCACTGCAGGCTGGGTGCGAAGCCAAATCCACGACCTCTACTCTTGTGCGACTCGTCGCCGTGTGGGATAGGAGAAGCCATTTTTAAAACCAGTGCTTGCACGAAGTTAGCAGTAGTCTCAACCCGTCAAGGCCCGTTAGTTTGAGTGCATGTTATCAGTGCTCGTCGAATGTATGTACTTCGTAGTGAGACCCTTGGCAGTCTTCGACGCTGAATAGATTTTGAGTAGTCATTGACCATAGGTGTTCGGGTTCGAGACATGTCGCTCCTCCATCGACAGGCAAGATCTTACAGGAGGACCAGCTAGTATGCGTCAACATGCAAGCGTCGTGTTACTTATCTTTTTCCTCGAAGTGAGTTGGTGATGAATGTTCTTCCTTTGAAGCTAATGTCTTTTCATGTTCTTAACTGTTTAAGGTCCCAGGTCATATTCTTGCGTGGAGAAATGGCCGAAACACAATGGTCAAAGGCAATTCGTGATCTGGTGCAGTGCGCAGACGGATTCGCAGGCAAAGTCACTGGCGGGCATTCTGGTCCTTTCTTTTGGGTCACGACTCTTTCGGATTCTGGACCTGGTAGTTTGAGGTAAGTATTAAGCAGCCGTTCGCTTCCTTGTGCCATATATTTCGCATTTTAATCTTTGCCGCTCGCCGTGATAAAGGGAGGGAGCAACAATTCACGGCTCGCGCTGGATACTGTTTAACGTTTCTGGAACGATTTGCCTCTCTAGCCCAGTTGGTGTTGCCTCCAACAAGACAATAGACGGCCGTGGTCAACGCGTCGTCGTCTCGTGCAATGGTCTTCATATCAGGTTCTTAGCATTTTTTTTTAGCTTCAAATCCCCTTTTAAATTGCAAAGCACTCGTCTGTAACACTTCACTGGTCGTTTTTGAGTAGACATGGTGCTCAGAACATCATCATCAATAACCTTATTTTCTGGAGAGGTGGAGAAGATGCCATTCAGCTGAAGTACGGGGCACAGCGAGTTTGGGTCAACCATGTGAGCATTGGAAGATGGGGAGATGGCGCGATTGATGTAACACGTGGCTCTACAAACGTCACAATATCACGATGCCTCTTTCATCACCACAACAAAGTTATGCTTGTTGGTTCACAGGTAACTATTTTTGGTATTGCTCTTCCCTGGCATGGCTCTTCTTGACTTGATACCGCATGTCTGGCAGACGGATGCTGAAGAATCCAAAGACCATCCTGTGAATCTTCATGTCAGCATTCATACTAATTGGTTCGCTGGAACCGTTCAGCGCCATCCTCGAGTTGTTGCAGGATTGGTTCACGTATATAATAATGTCTTCCAGCATTGGGGACTGTATGGAGTTGGTAGTACCTGCCATGCCCAGGTGACTGTTCTGTACTCATTCGCATACATTTAGTGCTCGTCGTTCTCTTGGCTAACGTAACTTTTGCGCAGATAGCCATGGAGAGCAACATTTTCCTCGCAGGCAGGTCATTTTCGGGTGCTAGAATATTTGATCGTCTGGATTGGCCCAGTAATTTTGGAAGAACCCGGTCTGTTGGAGATTTACTTATTGATGCAGCACATCTTCACGAGTACGATCCAGATCATGTATTCAACCCCCAAGTACGTATTCGTATCCCCTGTTTGTGCGTCCCTTATTACCATACCATGTCTTATGCATGTCTCCTTGATCAGGAATTCTACAATTATTCTGCAGCTGAAGCTACTCTGGACTTGATGGTTGATGTAGCCAGTAATGCTGGTTGGCATGATGTACGTCTTTCGTCTGAGGCCATCAAAAGGTGTTAAACGTTGTTTGGAGTGAACATATTGGACATGCAGCAGCATACCTTGTCACCAAGGCCAAATACGTTTGGACTGGATTAACGGTAGGTGTTATAGCAAACACCAGTTGGGTTAGAATTACCTGCTGGTGGGCAATGATGAAAATATAAGGGCGTGTAACTTTTTCACTTTTCATTGTCCGGACGGAGGACCCGTTCGGACTTTTGTAGGGTTACGTATTTCGCCTAGATTCGTTATTGAGTTCGTGAGACCCCTTGCGACATCGCGATCGTCCGTACGAGTTCTGACACTTTTCTGCTTGTTCATCGTCCGTTCTACACTCCTGACGTCGTCCGGACAGCATTTCGGACCGTCCGGAACTCCTGCAACGTCATTGGTGCGCGAAGCACATTTTTCATCAGTACTGGCGACTCGGTTTCCTGCTCGCCAGAACCACGTTTTGACGGAAAGGCAACACAGAAGTTCCACTATCGTTCGAACGGGCACACAGACTCACAGCACTACAAAAAGCGACTCACTACAGTCCGGCTTTTTTCTGACACAACTGCATGCAAGCGGCCGATTCGCTGACGAGGTGGGTAATAAGCGTTACTGTTTCGCTCAAAATGCATTTTTCGCAAGTGCAAAAAAGTGTCATAGGGTAATACCGTAAACGCCCGGATATAAGACAGTGTTGAATAGTAGACAGGGGTTGTCTACTATACGGGTGTCTCTTATAAACAGGCTAGCCTCATTATAAGACACCTATTTGTGTGTACGAGATAAGACATATATGTCTTATAATCGAAACTTCAATACATTATAGCGAAAGTTGAAATAACGCGTACATTTTTACCCTTGCGAAGCGCGAATTCTTCCACGCGCTGACCCAGGACCTACCAAATTTGCCTCTGCAGGTGTTCTCCATGACGTGGCGTCCCGGGCAGTGGTTGCCGAAGTGGCACCTTCGCAACATCCACACTCATTATGAGGAACTCTTGTTCAAGAAGTACGGAAAAAATTCTAAGTAGATTAATACAAAAGTTTCCATTTATAAGACTTATAAGACACCCTAAACCATCCCGTTTACAAGATAACTAGAGCATTTTTGCCCGTGTACGAGATAAGACATATATTGTCAAATGTTGTAGCCTATAGTGAGGTTTGTCTTAGGGGGTACAAAACTTAGGGTTAGCTATATGTACCCCAACCAACATCAATGCATCATCCATTCCTCATTCTGACATGGTATCAGTTAGGTTAGGATCCTGTGGGATCCCGTTCCTCCGTTCTCCGTTCGTATCTCCCGAGCCTGATCCTACCTCTCGTTCGTACCGGTTCCGTTGTTACCGCGCCTAGTGCCGAGCCTAGCGCCCTTCCCCCCGTCGTCTAGCGCCCTTTCCCCCCCCGTCACGTCGCGCCCTTTCCCCCCGTTGCGTCGCGCCCGTTCCCCCCCGTCGAGTCGCGCCCTTTCCCCCCGTCGCGTCGCGCTCTTTCCCCCCGTCGCGTCGCGCCCTTTCCCACCGTCGCGTCGCGCCCTTTCCCCCCGTCACGTCGCCCTGCCCCGTCCCGTCGCCCTGCCCCGTCCCGTCGCCCTGCCCCGTCCCGTCCCGTCGCCCCGTCCCGTCCCGTCGCCCCTGCCCCGTCCCGTCCCCGTCCCGTCCCGTCGCCCCTGCCCCGTCCCGTCCCCGTCCCGTCCCGTCGCCCTGCCCCGTCCCGTCCCGTCGCCCCGTCCCGTCCCGTCGCCCCTGCCCCGTCCCGTCCCCGTCCCGTCCCGTCGCCCCTGCCCCGTCCCGTCCCCGTCCCGTCCCGTCGCCCTGCCCCTGCCCCGTCCCGTCGCCCCGTCCCGTCGCCCTGCCCCGTCGCGTCGCCCTTCCCCGTCCCGTCGCCCTGCCCCGTCGCGTCGCCCTTCCCCGTCCCGTCGCCCTCCCCCGTCGCGTCGCCCTCCCCCGTCGCGTCGCCCTGCCCCGTCGCATCGTGCCCGCCCTTTCCCCCGTCCCGTCGACCCTACGCCCTGGCCCGTCGCTCTAGCCCGCTCTTCCGCTGCGACTAAGTCCCACCTGCACCCTAATTTGCCTCTTACCTCCTGCTGTTACTCGCCTGCTCGTTCGCGTTAGTTTTCGCTATGGCGACTCCGCGAGTTCTTCGTTTCGACGCTGACGGTAGACCTCTTGACTTTTCCGTCTGGCTTCTTCGTGCTCGCCGTCTGTTAGAGAGTCAAGTCCAGGGGGGCGAGACCCTCTGGTCGCACGCTACTGGTGACCTCCCCGAGCCCCCCGAGCCTGCCGCTTTAGGTCCTGCCCCTGACGATGCTGCTACGGCTCGCTTTGCCCGTCAGCGCGCTGACAGGACGGCTTGGACGTCACGTGACGCTGCGGCCTGCATCGCACTCAGCAGCCTCCTCCCTGAGTCAGAGGAGGTCCACTTCACTCAGGTTCGCACCGCTGCTGCGTACCTCACTGCGATTAAGGCCCGCTACTCTACTCCCGCTACTGTCTCTCTTGGCCGTCTTTTCCTCCCGTTCCTGTTTCCTGATCTCGCCTCGTTTGAGCGCTCTGCTGACTTGATCGCTCACCTCCGCTCGCTCGACGCTAGTTACCGCGCTGCTTGCACTGAGGCACAGCTTGCACTGCTTCCTCCCCCCATGGCGATTACTATCTATTTCATCGCCACTAGCCTCCCTGACCGCCTTGCCTCCGTACGTGACGCGCTCCTGCTGAAGCACCCTAGTGAGCTGACAGTTGAGGTCCTTGAGTCTGCGCTCAAGGACGTCGAGAGCAACCTTCGCTCGGTAGCTGCCGCCTCTGGTGCTGTGCCCCCCCCACTCTTCCACGGGTGCACAGTCCCGCAGTTACCCACCTTCACTGCCTCTCTTGCCACTGCCGCTACTGACGCGACTGCAGCTGCTGCTACGACTGCGTCGCGGTCCCGCGGCAAGGGGGGCAAGAAAGGTGGTTCTGGTGGAGGTGGAGGCGGAGGTAGCGGAGGTAGTGGGGGTGCTGTTGCGACTGGCGGTGGTGGGAGTGCAGCGTCTGGAGAGACCTCTCGTGCAGCGGCTGGTGACTCCACTGCGCCTGCTGGTGGTGGCGACGCCCGAGCTCGTCAGTCGTCTCCTGTACTGCCGGCCCCGCTAGGTGGAGCAGCGGCGTGGTACCAGGCTCAGCGTCAGCAGCGGCTTCAGCAGCACCAGCAGCCCCTCTCCTCCCAGCAGCCTCAGCAGCAGCAGCGTCAGCAGCTGGCTCCGGGGTCGGGGCTGCGTCAGCCCCAGCGTGGTGCTGTTTACCCTCCCTGCACCTATCAGGTTCTGACAGGTCCTCGTCGGGGCCACCCTTGTGGCCGCTTTCACCCCCCTGGTCAGTGCTTTGCTCAGCTCACTGACACGGTCCGGTTGGCCTACGGGGTTGGCGGTCCTGCCCTTGACTGGCTTCCTCTGGTTCAGCGCTACGGCTCCGCTCTGTGGGGCATGTCTGCTGAGCAGTTAGTTGATCTGATTGGTGCTCCTCATGCTATGTATGCTGTTGTTGACTCTAGTGTTTCTGACTCTGCTTACTCTGGTGTTGTTAGCTTAGGTGCTAGCCTTGCTCAGTTGCCTGTTGCTAGTGTAGGTTCTTGTGTAGACTCTAGTCCAGCGGCTACCTCAGAGGACGGTTCGCTGTCGTTCACGCTGGACTCTGGAGCCTCTCACTGCTTCTTTCGTGACAGCACGACACTTACGCCTCTTCCTGCGCCTGTTTCTGTGGCGCTGGCTGATCCCACTTCGGGACCAGTCACCGCGCGTCACACTACCACCTTGCCGTGTCCGGCTGCTCCTTCTGGGTCTCTCACTGGGTTTCACGTCCCCTCGTTCTCCCGGAACTTGGTGGGCGTGCGACCCCTTGTGAGTCAGCACGTGGGTGTGTGGTTTGAGCCTTCTGGAGAGACTGCGGTGTGTGTTGACGGGGACTCTTACCAGCCCCTCGCCACTTTTGCTGCTGAGCCGGGCTCCGGTCTCTACACACTTCACACTGGCCCGCGCGCTCAGCAGCGACTGCAGCAGCAGCAGCAGCCGCAGCCACAGCGGCCGCCGTCACAGCAGCCCCTCCTCCCAGTTCCTGTCCCTCCCCCTAGTCTCCTCCCTGCGTCTCACCAGGTGGTTCCGTCCTCTCAGGTTGTCGCGTCCAGTCCAGTCGCTGCGTCTTGCTCCTGTCGGTCGCTTGCCCACCCCACCGTTCTGTGGCACCACCGGCTGGGACACCCTTCTCTTCCACGTCTGCGTGCTATGTCTAGTCAGCGTCTGGTCTTAGGTCTCCCGCGTGTCTTGCCGTCGCTGCCGCCGTCCCTTGCACCACCGTGCGGTCCTTGCGTCGAGGGTAGGCTGCGTGCCACCCCTCACTCCTCCTCCCTTCGTCCGGCCACCGAGCCTTTTGAGACACTGCACTTGGACGTCTGGGGCCCCTCTCCTCGCCCTGGCCCTGAGCGTGAGCGTTTCTTTTTGGTGGTCGTTGACGACTACTCCCGCTACACCACAGTGTTCCCCCTGGCGAGGAAGTCTGAGGTGACTTCTACGCTGATCAGGTGGTTGCTTACCACCCAGGACACTCGTGGTCGTCGTGTCAGCTGTCTCCACTCCGACCGCGGGGGCGAGTTTCGCTCCGGCATTCTCGCTGGATTCTGTCGCGAACAGGGCATTCGTCAGTCCTGGACGCTTCCGGAGTCCCCACAGCAGAATGGGGTTGCTGAGCGTCGCATAGGCCTGGTCATGGAGATTGCCCGCACCTCCTTGACTCACGCCCGTGCCCCCCATTTCCTGTGGCCATACGCAGTCAGGTACGCCGCGCACCAGCTGAACCTCTGGCCACGCGTCTCTCGGCCGGAGGCTTCACCGACCAGTCTTTGGACAGGGTCCCCTGGTGTCGCGTCGAGGTTTCGTGTCTGGGGGTGCTTGGCTCTTGTCCGCGACACCTCCGCGGACAAGCTCTCGCCTCGCGCCGTTTCTTGTGTCTTCCTTGGTTTCCCTGAGGACTCCTCTGACTTCACCTTTTACCACCCTCCCTCTCACCGGTTCTTTGACTCCCGTGACGTCCGTTTCGAGGAGTCCACCCCCTACTACGTCAGGTACCCCAGTCGAGGTCTCCCGGTTCCTCCTCCCCCCCTCTTCCTGACAGCCGCTCCCCCGCCTGCTCCCCCGGTACAGCCTCCCCCCCCTGGTCCAGCCCCGTCTGGTGTGTCTCAGGCTAGCCCTCCCCCTTCGGTAGCCCCCCCTGTACAGCCTCCCTCCCCACAGTCTTCCTCGCCGCCTCCTGCAGGTGCTCCCTCTCGGGAGGTTGGTCCTGCGACTGTCCCTGTACAGGTCTCTGGTTCTGGGGGTGCTGGAGTTGGAGCTGAGCCGCGGGTTGCAGAGGACTCTTGTCTTCCGGGGGCTGGTACTGGTCGTGCGGAGTCTGGGGGTGCTGGTGCGGAGTCTGGGGGTGCTGCGTCTGGGGGTGAGGGTGTTCCTTCGGTTTCTGGAGAGCCTGGGTCTGGAGCTGGTGTTGGTGCTGCCTCTGGGGGTGGTGTGCTTGGTGCTTCGGAGGTCGACTCTGGGGCTGCCGCTGCCCCGGACACTACTCCTTCCCCCCACCCCTACCCGACCAGGTTCCAGGCTCGTGTTCGCCGTGCTCGTGAGGAGCAGCTGGAGTTGGAGAGAGAGGAGAGAGAGTTGCAGCGGCTCGAGGAGCAGGAGCGACAGCAGCAGGGGCAGCAGCCGCTGGAGCAGCAGCAGCCGCAGCAGCAGCAGCTGCCGTCTCCTCCTCCTGTCTCGGGTCTTCGGACCCTTGGTCTCCCCTCTCCCTCTCCTTCCTCCTCCCCCTCTCCTCCCGTCTCTGGTCCTTCGCTTCCTCCTCCTGACCCCTCTCCCGCTGTTTTCCCTCGTTCTCAGTCTTCGTTGTCCCCTCCTTCTTCTCAGACTTGGGCCTCTCGTCGCTCCCCTCGTGCTCGTCCCTCGTCTCCTGTTCCCTTCACTGACCTTCGTACTGCCTTACTTCGTTCTAGTCCACCTCGTCCGTCTCCGTCTGTGCTTCCGTCTCCTCCTGAGTCGGCTCTCACTGCGTCGCTCCCTACTCCTGTCACAGACTACTACCGCACGTACCGTCCTCTTCTCTCTCGTGTTCTCGCCTCGCTTGTTACTCACCCTCGTGCCTCTGTGTCCTCTGTGTCCGCTCTTACTGCCGCAGTCACTGACTTTGCCTCTACCCGCCGCCTTGACTTCGCCACCGCTCTTGTGGCTGCTCCTCCTTCCAGTCCTCTGGCCGTCGGGGGTGTGTCTGCCCTTGGCTGTGACGCCCTAGAGGACAGGCAGTTTGAGCTAGAGTTCCTGGCGGCCGCTTCCCCTCATCTCTGTGCCATGCTCCTCGCCCCTGAGGGTGACCCCGACGCCCTTGACATTCCGACTCCTCGCACTTACGCTGAGGCAGTGTCAGGGCCTTGGGCCTCTCAGTGGAGAGCTGCCATGGACGCAGAGATGGCCTCCTACAGATCCACAGGCACCTACGTCGATGAGGTTCCCCCTCCGGGGGCGAACGTAGTCGACGGCATGTGGATCTACAGGGTGAAGCGGCCACCGGGATCTCCTCCGGTCTTCAAGGCGCGCTACGTGGCTAGAGGTTTCAGTCAGCGCGAGGGAGTTGACTTCTTTCAGACCTTCGCGCCCACCCCGAAGATGACCACTCTTCGGGTGTTACTACACGTAGCAGCACAGAGAGACTACGAGTTACACTCTCTTGACTTCTCTACTGCTTTCCTTCAGGGCAGTCTTCACGAGGAGGTCTGGTTGCGTCGTCCCTCTGCCTTCACTGGCTCTTTCCCTCCTGGGACCCAGTGGAGGCTGAGGCGACCGGTTTACGGTCTTCGTCAGGCTCCTCGTGAGTGGCACGACACCCTGCGTTCTACCCTGTCTGACCTTGGGTTCCAGCCGTCTTCTGCTGACCCGTCGCTGTTCGTTCGTCGTGGCCCCACACCTTTCTTTGTTCTGGTCTACGTTGACGACCTTGTTTTCGCCACCCCTGACAGGGTTGCTTTGGCACACGTGAAGTCCGAACTGCAGAAGAGACACACCTGCACTGATCTTGGTGAGCTGCGCCACTACCTTGGCCTGCAGATCACCAGGGACAGAGCTGCTCGCACCATTACACTTTCACAGTCGCACATGGTGCAGCAGGTCCTTCAGCGGTTCGGGCTTCAGCACTCCACAGTACAGCGCACACCTCTTGCTGTTGACCACAGACTCACTGGACCCTTTCCTGACGAGCCGTTCGAGCCTAGTGGTCCCTACGCAGAGCTTGTGGGTTGCCTCATGTACCTGATGACTTGTACTCGCCCGGACCTCGCCTTCCCTCTCAGCGTTCTTGCGCGCTTTGTTGCGCCAGGGAGACACCGTCCTGTTCACTGGACAGCAGCTGTGAGGGTGGCGAAGTACCTAGCGACGACGTCAGGCGTGGGGCTAGTTCTTGGAGGGCAGCAGTCTGTCGTACTTACTGGTCACTGTGACTCCTCTTACGCTGACGACGCTGAGACTCACAGGTCTACTCAGGGGTACTGTTTCAGCCTGGGTTCTGGAGCTGTTTCCTGGCGGTCCACGCGCTCCTCTTCGGTCTCGACCTCTACAGCTGAGGCTGAGATCTACGCTGGTGCCATGGCGGCACAGGAGCTGCGTTGGTTGACCTTCTTGCTCACCGACCTTGGTGAGCGGCCGAGCTCTGCACCGACCTTGTTCACTGACAACAAGGCGTCTATTCTCCTTTGTCGAGAGCCACGACTGGAGAGCAGAGTGAAGCACATTCACGTCAGGTACTTTCTTCTGCGAGAGTTGCAGAGGCGTGGACAGGCTCGCTTTGAGTTTGTGGAGTCCGAGGCCAACACTGCAGACATCTTCACCAAGGCGCTTCCGCCTTGTGACCACCAGAGGTGCTGTGTGCAGTTAGGCCTTGTTGACACTGGTTCTCGTGTTGCTTAGGCTTGAGTGTACTGTTTACTTTGCTTTCTATATACCTCTGTTACTTCTTGGACTGGCCTTGTGGCCACTGTTGTTTGTGCTCAGACTGTGTGGTGACGTTGTGATCCACCCTGAGCTTCGTTTCTTGGACTGGTCTTGTGACCGTACTCGTTTGGTTCTGCTAGACACCCCTCACTTAGGCTATGGGGGTGTGTCAAATGTTGTAGCCTATAGTGAGGTTTGTCTTAGGGGGTACAAAACTTAGGGTTAGCTATATGTACCCCAACCAACATCAATGCATGATCCATTCCTCATTCTGACATATATGTCTTATATCCGGGCGATGACGGTAGGGGTACGGACGCTTCATCGTCCGTACCACATCCCCAACCGTCCGGACGGAGCTCAGTTCGGACGATTTGGGTCCGGACATTTGCCCAAAACGGAAAAAGTTACGCGCCCTAATTAGTTGGAGCCTCTGCAGCAGAGCACACAACTGAGGAAACATCACTTGGGAAGCCTAGATACACAAACTTACATATCCTAGTCACAAACCATAGGTGCTATTTCTATCGTTGGCTGCACAGCCCCTAAAGAATACAATTAAGCAACATGCATGCTAAGCATGTCAAGAGTGTCAGGGAGGTATACATAGGTAAGCAGGAAAGCCACCAATTGCACTGCGTAGCAAAATCTCCTGGCATAAAGAAAAGCCTAACAAGGCACAGTTAGTGCCATGTAAGACGATGCAGTGTAGCATGCTGCTGATACTGACGGTGTACGGTATCATGCTTGGGCGCAAAGCAGCCGGTGATCAGCGCATCCGAACATGCTGGTTCGGGAGAATGAGATCCGGGTTTCGAATGTGCGGGTTCAGCTTCACCACATCCTTCCACTTAGTGCCACTGCCATGCACCTTCTGTGACAAGCTCCACAGAGTGTCACCGGCCTGTACAGTCACCTTGGCAGGCTTGACAGGCCCCGTAGACCTCTTCGGCTTAGCTGCTCCCTTCTTCCCCATGCCATTCGCCGCAAGCCACCTCGACCCAGCCTGCCCCTGTTTCTGATTCCCCCATCCCCTCTTCGCCGCCTCTTCCGTTTTCAGTCCCATCATGTGCACACCTGTCAGCTTGAACCGAGCCTTCTCCACGCCACCTTTACCCCCGGGCTGCTCCTCATCATCCACCTCCTCCACAATCGGATCCCCATCCCTCCGCCGGTTGTTCGCTCCGTTCCGCACCGTCAGCGGCCCTCCCGAGGGCCGCACAGCCGCGCCCGTGTGCAGGTTATACGCGATCCTCCTCACTCCTCCGCCTCCTGGCAACGCCTTAGCACCTCCCTCCAGCGCTGCTGCGCCATTACCACTGCTCTTCTCATCATCCTCAGCAGTAACAGGGGGGGCTCGTTCAGCCTGCAGCAGGGCCATCATGGGAGCACCCACCGGCTCGAAATTCCTGAGAGGGTCTCTCAGCTGCACCAGCATCGCCACTGTCACCTTATCCCCCATCAACCCCCCTTCTCCCCTCCCTCCTCCCAACCCACCCACCATCCCACCCATCCCTCCCATACCCATCATCCCCATCCCCGCACCCCCCATCATCCCCATCCCTCCCGCACCTCCCCATGCCGCCAGCCCCCGTCCCGCTCCCATCCCACCACCCACCCCTCCCCTCACTGCCGCAAGATCCGATCTCAGCTGTGCAATATCATGCAGCACCATCTCCCCCGCGCCATGCGCTGCACAGTGCGCCTGCAGCACTGCCAATGTATCATCCTCTGTTTCAAAGTCCTCGAATATCCCCGCATCCAGCCGCTGCCACTCGTCTAATGATACCGCCAGCCCCATCGATCCGTTTCCTCCCGCCGCCACCATTGCCCATTCGTCCCCTCCCGCACCCATCTCCGCCCCTCCATACCCCCCATTTGTCAACATCCCTGCTCCCCCACCATACATCAACTCCCCCATCCCTCCCCTCCCCACCCCCCCTCCCATCCCCAACGCCCCATACCCGCCCATCCCCAACGCACCCGCGCCCCCGCCCTCCTTCCCCAGATCAATCGCGTACGGCGCCAGCAAATCAGAGGCGTCGTTCTGCACTCTCAGCCCCTCCAACGCCATCCGTTCGATCTGCTCCATGGCCAGCGCGCCCAGCTCATCCAACGGCACGTATTCATCCTCGCCATCCTCCCACCCCTCCTCCTCCATCAGCATCAACTCCCTCTTCAGCTCCTCTTCCATATCCTCCTCTGTAAACAAACCGCCTGCAACCAACCTTCTGTCTCCGTTCCCTCCGTTCCCTCCCTTCCCTCCGTTCCCTCCCTTCCCTCCCGTCCCCCCCAACACCCGCCAGCTCTCCAGCCGTCCGCCTGAGCAGTGCCAGCCGCCCCTCCTTGGCTCCGCCTCCCCCAGTTGCGCCCTCCCCTGCTTCCCCCTCCCCTCCCCCTCCGCCCTGTTCCAGCAAAAGCTGCTTCTGCTGAATCCTCTGCCGTGCCACGGCTATCATCCTGCCTCGGCGCCGCAACCGAACCAGAGTGCCAGCCAGGGCGGATTGCCGAGCCACCGCCGCCATAGCTTCGGGCGTCAAGCCGCCGCCCGTACCTAATGCCAAGGCTCCTGCCGAGCCTCCTCCCACTGCTGCCAGCTGTCCCGCGCCTACATGCACAAGTTGCCCGCCTTGCATCCCTGCTGCTGCTCCTGCTGCCCCCTCTAGAGCCAAGTAATTCCCCTCTGCACGCCCCTCCAGGGCCAGATAGCCTTCTCCTCCCCCCAATGCTGCTGCTGCTGCTGCGCCAAGGGCCCTCCTGTAGCGGGGAAAAGGACCAGGGGTGAGGGAGCAGGGAAAAGGAAGGGAAGGGTTGAACGGAAATCCAGGACTGAACAGAGAGAAGGGGAAGATGGGAGGAGGGGAGGGGGAGGAGAGGAAGGAAAGGCTGCATCTGATAGAGGTCGTTTCATTCATGTTTAAATTGCTTCTGAGATTTCTCAGAAGAGATTTCTACACTGCATCTAAAATAGGTCGTTTCATTCATGTTTATAGCACTCAAGACTTTTGCACTCACTAGCTCACACACTCTCACTCCCTCACTCACAATAACCTCCTGTTTCCATCTCTGAGGCATGCCGAGCCGTCACAGATGCTCCTCTACCCCCCATCCAGGAACAGCAGTCCTTTCACTTTTCATGGCCCTCACTCCCACTCACCCCTCACACTACCCTCTTGTTCCCACCGTCTCACCTCTGTGGTGCGCGGAGTCTCCTCAGATGCTCTTCATAGCCCCCTCCCCATCTTCTCTAGTGCCTTGCCACTGACGCCAGGCAGGGGCATGAGCCACTTGCATCCCCAGCACTCCCTCACTCACTCCCTTCCTCACTTCCTCACTCACTCGCTCAACCACTCACTCATTCCCTCACTCACTCACAACCGGTTCCGTCTCACCTATGAGGCGCGCCGAGCCTCCTCAAGTGCTCCTCGTACCCCCCCTCCTCCCGCCCCATCCAGGAACAGCAACCCCTCAGCAGCCATCTGCTCGAGTGCCTTGCTGCTGATGTCCGGTAGGGGCATGAGCATGTGCACCTGCCACGCTGCTGGGACACACACTCCCTCACTCACTCACTCACTCACTCACAAGCACCTCCTCACCTCTGAGGCGCGCCGAGCCGTCTCAAGTGCTCTTCATAACCCCCACCGCCCGCCCCATCCAGGAACAACAATCCCTCTGCCGCCATCTGCTCTAGCGCCATGCCACTGATGTCCGGTAGGGGCAGAGCATGTGGGCTTGGTGGGCTTAGTAGGGCATGTGCATGAATGAGATCTCACCTCTGAGGCGCGCCGAGCCGTGTCAAGTGCTCTTCATAACCCCCACCGCCCGCCCCATCCAGGAACAACAATCCCTCTGCCGCCATCTGCTCGAGAGCCTTGCCACTGATGTCTGGCAAGGGCATGAGCATGTGCGCTTGCTGCGACAGCGCGTCTATTCCCAGCGCCGCCATGCTCTGTATGATGTCACTGCCCTCTATGCCCATCTCCTTGGGTACCACCACTGCCCGGGAAAACTGCAGAGGGACGCGGATTGGGGGAGGAGTGGGAGGAGGGGGGGATGGGAGGGGAGAAAGGGGAGAGAGGGCATGAGCATGTGCGACTGATGGGAGAGCGAGTCTATTCCCAGCGCTGCCATGCTCTGTATGATGTCCGCTCCCTCTATTCCCATCTCCTTGGGTACCACCACTGCCCGGGAGAACTGTGTTGGGGACAAGAGTGGGTGGGGAAGGAAGGGGCCGGAGAGTGGGAAAGGTGGAAGAGATGGCATGAGCATGTGTGTCTGCTGCGACAGTGTGTCGAGGGGAGGACAGAGGGGAGTGCCGCCATGCTCTGAATGATATCACTGCCCTCTGTGCCCATCTCCTTGAACGAGATAGCCTTGGCTAAGGGCAAAAAAGTAATATGATAAGCGTCAGGCTATTACAGCAAGAGAGCTAGGGGAGGAGGGGCGGAGCGAGGGAGCAGGGGAAGAGAACGGAGGGGGGAGTGAGTTGGGGGGGAGAGAAGCGGATGGGGAAGTGGGGATGGAGAGGGGATTACAAGCAATGGGTAGCGGCTCAGCCCCCTTACCTGCACGACCAGACGACTCGCCTCTTGAGTAAAATGTCGACCCGACATGGACATTAAGAACCCGCCCCCAGGCAGTGCAATCGCGGACCCCATGCCCTGCACCAGCTCGGGGGGCGCCATGGTGGGCGGAACCGCCAGCACCATGGGGTCCGCGCCCTTCCGCCCCGCACCTCTTACCCACCTCCCGCCCCATGGGGTTCCCACCTCTCCCCGCCTTCGCATCTCTCGCACCGCTCTTACCTGCATGACCAGCCGGCTCGCTCCTTCTGAGAAATGCCTTCCCGACATGGACGTTAAGAACCCGCCCCCAGGCAGCGCGATGGCTGACCCCCTCACCTCCTTCCAGCAACAAGTGAAGCAACAAGCAACAAGCTTACCTGAATCACCAGCCGGCTGGCCCCTTCGGTGAAATGTCTGCCCGACATGGACGTCAAGAACCCGCCCCCAGGCAGCGCAATCGCGGACCCCATGCCCTGAACTAACTCCGGGGGCGCCATGCTGGGCGGAACGGCCAGCACCATGGGGTCCGCGCCCCTCACCTCTCACCCAGCTCTCATGCCATTGGGTCCCCACCTCTCCCTGCCTCACCTCTCCCCAGCACGGAGCTTACCTGCATCACCAGCCGGCTGGCGCCTTCTGAGAAGTGCCTTCCGGACATGGACGTTAGAAATCCCCCCCCAGGCAGAGCAATCGCGGACCCCATGCCCTGCACCAGCTCGGGGGGCGCCATGGTGGGCGGAACCGCCAGCACCATGGGGTCCGCGCCCCTGAGCGCGCCGAGCTGCGCCAGCCCGCCCGCGCCCCCGTACAGCGCGGCGCTGGCGGACGCCAGCCCCGTGGCCGCGCACGTGGGCGCAAGCACGCTGCTGAGGCTCTTCAGCGGGGGGAGGTCGAATGCGCCGGGGGAGAAGGCGGAACCGGGGAAGGGGGATTGGGGGAAGGGGGATGCGGGGAAGGAGGGGGAGAATGTGGTGGTGGTGGTGGCGGTGACTCCCCCCACGCTGCTGCGCGTGCTGATGCTGTTGATGGCGCCGCTGCTGCCAGTGTTGACTGTCGTGAATGGGCCATGTGAGGGCATGCGCATTCCCCCGAACCCAGCGCCTGGCGCCAGCGCGCCCTGCTGAATCGCCGCCAGCGTCATTGCGCTTGGCGCGCCTCCTGCGCCTGCTGCGCCGCCTCTCCCCCCGCCTGCAGCAACCATCCCGCCAGGCCCCGCCACAGGCACCATCGCCCCCGCACCTCCCGCGTCTCCGCCCTTCTTCCCCGCGCCTGCTGCTGCGCCCGCTGCCACCAGTCCACCAGGCCCCGCCACGGGCACCATCGCCGTGCAAGCCTCTGCTGCTGCTGCCGCTGCTGCTGCATCAGCGGGCACAGGCAGAGCGGCTCTCGCCCCTCGCCCCGCCCCTCCCCCTGCTCCAATCCTGCTTCCGCGCCCAATACCGCTTTCCCCGCTCATCTTAATCTCAATCGTTCCGCCGCTTTTCCCGCTGCCGCCCAGAGGCCCCGCCGCCGCCCCCCGCACGAGCGCCCGCGGGATGCCAGTTGTCACCTCCTCCACCTCCGCTGACGTGGACAGCTTCCGCGCCGCGCCCCTGCCAGCTGGCACGAGCGCAGTCGACGATCCGGATGCCTTCGCGTTCGCGCTTCTCCTCGCTTCCGCTTCCGCCTCCTCCTCCTCCTCCTCCCACCCCTTCCCCCCGCGCCCTTCCTTCCCCGCCGCGCGCTCCTCCTCCATTATCCGCACTCTGTCCTGCACCGTTAGCCGCCCCCCTCTCCCCCTGCCTCCGCCCGCCCCCGCGCCCGCCGCCCCCAGACCGCCTACCCTCGGCACAAGCGCGCCGTTGGCGGCCGCGCCCCTCCCCGCGCCGCTGCCTGCGGCGGCGAGCGGGCCTGCGGTGGACCAGCGCTTGCGCGCAGGCGCCGCAAGAGCCGCGGAAGCGGTAACGGCGGGGGCAGCAGGGGGCGCGCCCCTGCCCCTCCCCGCCACCACCAGCGCTGCGGACTGCACCCCTCCAGCAGCAGCAGCAGCAGCAGCGGCGGAATCCGAAGCAGACGCGGCAGGTGCGGCAGGAGGGGCAGCAGCTAAGGGAACCTCAGCAGCGGCGGCGGCGGCGGCGGGCGCGGGCGCGGTGCCGCGGAAGCGCAGCATGAGCGCGGCCTCCTCCTCCGAGTCGAGCAGGCGCGCCTTGCGGCGGCTCTTCTCCTCGATCTCCGCGCGCTGCTGCTCCTCCTCCGCCTCGCGCAACATGCTCGACAACACATCGTCGTCCCCCTCCCCCTCCCCTCCCCCCGCCTCCTCCCCCTGCCCTGCCCCCGTGCCAGCACCATTGCACGCCATCATGCCTTCACCCACCTCCTCCTCCTCCTCTTCTTCCTCCTCTTCCTCCTCCTCCTCATCCTCCTCCTCTTCCTCCTCCTCCTCCTCTTCCGCGTGAGAAGACACCTCCCCGCTCCCCTCCATCCACTCGCGCTCGCTCGCGCCAACACTGTTGCTGCCCACGCGGCTCGACGCCTGCCGCGCGGGGCTCAGCAGCCCTTCCGCCACGCCCAGCAGCCCCCCCTCCCCCCTCTCCCCTTCCCCATCTTCCCCGTCCCCGTCGCCGCCAATCGCGCCGAGCGCGCCGGACTGCATGAGCAGATCAAGGAACTCCTCTGACACCAGATCCATCTCCTCCTCCAATCCCGCCGCATTCTCCGCCGCATTTCCCGCCCCTTTCACAACCCCGCCGCCGCCGCCCGCCCACTCGCGCCCCGGCGAGTAACCGTAACCGTCGCCGCCGGACAGCCCTTTCGTGGAATCCTCCCCCTTCCGCTCCGCCACATCCACGCTGCGCTCCGCCTGCAGCGTCCACTCGAACTCCAGCATCGCCTGCGCCATGCGCGACCGCCCGCCCTCGCCCGCCGAGCTCGCCGAATCGAGCGACGCGTCGCGGCCACTCGTGGTCGTCGTCGAGGTGGTGGCGGCGCTGGTGGCGGCGCTGGTGGCGGCCGTGCCTGGGTCCACCCGCACCGTGCGCTCCTCCCCCGAATCGCTCTGCACCGCATAACCCCCCATCACCTTCTTCACCTCCACTCTCCCCCCTTCCTCCTCCTCCTCCTCCTCCTCCTCCTCCTCCTCCTCCTCCTCCTCCTCCTCCTCCTCCTCCTCCTCCTCCTCCTCCTCCTCCTCCTCCTCCTCTTCTTCTTCATCCTCGTCATCCTCCTCATCCTCGTCCTCATCATCAGTTTCCTCCTCCTCATCACTCTCTTCTTCTTCTTCTTCCTCTCCCTCCTCCTCCTCCTCGTCGTTCAGTCCCTCCCCTTCCGCCAAAACGTCCGCCAAGTTCACTGCGTCTCCCTCCCCCTCCGCCTCCTTCTCCGCCGCCCCCCCTCCGCGTGCCCCTCCGCTCACCTGTCCCCCCGACGAGCGCGTATCCTTCACCGGAATCTTCTCCTTCTCCTCTTCCTCTTCCTCCTCCTCCACCACCGTCCGCATAGCGCTTCCGCCAGAAATCATGCGCATCAGCGGGCCCGCGCGGGTCCCGCGCGCGTCCCCCTGGCCCCGCGCGCTCTGCGGCGCCGCGGAGCGATCCGCCGGCGCTTGGTACAGGGAGAACGAGAGCTTCTTCTTCTGCTTCGGCGAAGCTTCGTCCTTCTCGCTTCCGCCGCGCGGGGTGGCCTGCGGACTCTCCGGGGGGCTGCTGGTCGGCGACACCGCCGCCGCCGCCGCCGCGATCGCGGTCGCGGCGTACAGGCGGAACGACTTGGTGTCAACTCGCGCGAGGAACGTAACGCCGCGGCCGAGTTGTAACTCGTACCCGAACGTCGCGACCATGACGGCCCCCTCCGCCAATCCCGCGAGCTGAAAGCTCAGCGTCATGGGCTGACCCTCCTCCTTCTCGTGCAGCGACGCGGGCAGCAGCTTCGCTAGATCCACGGAATGCCGCCCAAGCTCCGCGACGTATCCAATCCCGGACGACTTCAACATCTGCACGCAGAGCGTCGACGGTTTCCGTTTGAACTTCACCGTGCCCTGCGCTCCGGCGTTGAAGAACATCGTGCAGGACATCGTCAGCGTCTGCTCGAAGCGCGCGACGCCGCGGTGGACTACCATGGGGCTCGTGCCGACAGACATACCGCGTCGCAGCCATTGCACGACGAGCTCCTTTCCCTCCATGTCTTTCGGGAAATTATCCACCCCGTGAACGTGCATAGCCACCGTGCACTGCGCCTTCTTGCTCCCCACGCGCCCCAACAGCCGGAACGGCGCGAACGACTCGAGGAAGCTCGGCTTCTCCGGGACTTGCGGGATGACGAGGCTCTGGCTGAACTTGACCTGGTCCGCGAGCCAGGCTCGGAAGTCGACCGAGGCTAGGTTTGGTTCGTCAGTTGGCGGGTAGTGGCTGTACGCGTGGTTGTGAGTGAAGACGGCGACATTTTTGTTGAGGGCTTCGGACGCGTGAACTCCGGCGTGAAGCACGCGGCTCGACTCCTTGGCGCTGATGCTGCGGCCGTGTAGCGCGAGGCCGGATTTCCGCTGTACGCCGACCCTCGAGTCGTCCATCGCGAGAGGCGGCGCGACGGAATGGTTATTAAGATGGTCGACTGGTTTCCGTCAGTCCGTCAGTCCTTACGCATTCTGCTATTTCTGCTGTGAGCTGTTTTCAACTGAGAGTCCAACGGAAAGATCTTTAAGAGACGAACGTTACGCAAGGAAGCCCTTGCGAGCTACATGAACGCGAGATGCGGAGACAGTGATCCCTAGATAATGCTGCATGTCCTGTCGAGTTTCAACGAGGCCGATGCGAGGAGAAATCAATGCACTGAAGTGTCCCTCTTAGACCGGGTGGGCAGAGACGAGAAGCTCTCCTGTTGTCGAGCGTGTAACGACAGGAAACGAGGAAAAGCTGTGGTGTGGAATGGAAGCCATGGCAGGGTGCTTGCTTCCCTTGGCCAACCACTTCCCGTGCGGTTCAGCACTGTTCTGCGTGGTCAGGGTGTTTCAGATCTGACTGTGCAAGATGCCGAGGGCAGGTAGGGAAGAAACAAATCAGGTGTGGAGGAACAGACTCGGAACTGGCTCGTTGGCACGTATGGCGCAGGTTTGTTAGGAGAAGCGGGAAAACAGACAGGTCTGGTAGCAAATTGATAGCTCTAATCTGGCTCGGAAAATGGCTTGGTAGGAATTTCTGAGGTTCATTGTTCATCGTGATTCGTTGTTGCCCTTCGATGGTTGCGGCTTGGAGTGACGAATCGCATCTGCTGATTCTTTTGTCTGCCCGGAAACTGCGCAAGAGTCATCGCTGCCACCAGTCATCTCGTCTCCCCAGGGCTCACTTCCGCGCCAAGGGGAGCCCGAGCCTTGTTTCGCACGCCCAAAGCTGCAGCTCCGGCCTGGTTAGTGACGTGCGGCACGTAGGTCTTGAGCCTAACCTTCGGTTTGTGTGAGCCTCCTGACATGCCGCACCTAACTTTTCTTGGCATGGAAGGCGCTTGGTGGTGATGTGACGGGTGATACCCAGACACTTGCGCCAAGCGTCGCCCACTTGACATACGGGTGGACCTGGCATGCGAGCCTTCCGCCTTTCCCCCCGTGTGCACGAGGGAAATTCATTCAAATGTTGCGTAGTAACTCGTCGCGGATGTTGTGATCTATATTCTGCTATTGGAGGTTGTGAACTTTCACTCTTCGCAAGGCTCGTCTTGTCTCGACTCCTCATAATCGTGGATCCGCTGTAACAATCTCGGTAGCACATACATCAGAAATCAAATTCGAAATCCTGAATTGTGAAAGCATGAAATGAGCAAATTTCCTGTTCACCAGCGAGATTCTGGGATGGGGGTAGTTCTCGCGAGGTGGATTCCTTGCGCCTAGCATGACGCCGCATTTCCGGCCAAATGGTTAGCCCAAGAGCCACTCGATGGCAAAATCGCCTTCCACACGCACTTCGCATGCGCGTCAGCGCCTGCACTGAGTCCCAAGCGCATTCTTCCCGCATCGCCTACTTGCTGGGGTTCCTCGTATTCTTCGCAGTGTGTACCCTAGCCTACATTGCTGGTGTCATTCCACACTCTAAACCCGCACCGCCAAAACTTCGGAGACACTACAATCTTCCTGGAGGATTTGGGAGAGTGGTTTCTTTGAACGAGGCGATTTTCACCAGCGACGGGATCTCGTCGGAATTGGCGTGGGATCTGCGCGATGGCGAGGTGCTCCCTGGAGTGTCGCACGCGCGATTGGCGAAATGGCGAGCCTTTGCCGCGCGATCACGGCTGAGCGCCGCAGCTGACGCTGATTCTACGGGTACACCGGTTGACGCCGCTCGAGGCGACGACGAAGCTTCCTATGCTGACCGCAAGGGAAAGCGTGAAGGTGGTGGCGAGCTGTGCGGGTGGCCGGTTCCCGCTGCTCCCGCGCGCGAAACGGAGGAGGGGTTTCAGGGCGATTCGGTGTGGTACAGCACGAACGGCAGCGAGTGGATGCAGCACGCGTATCTGGAGATGCTTCTAGCGGGGATGGTGGAGCGCAGAATGGGACAGGCGGGGGTGGGGGGAGACGAACCGGAGGTGAGGGGGTGAAGAGGTGAAGATTGGATGCTGCGAAGATGGGTGGAAACATATGAAACGTTAGTTGAGCTGAAACGTGAGCTTCTGCCTTGGCATTCATGTTGCGTCTGCGTCAGTCACTGATACTGTCTCATTCTTGTTCTCTCTTTCCACCCCCTTTAACCCTCATCCGCTCCCTTCCTAGTCTTCCAGCCTGTATGCGTGGCGGTGTATCTGCCACCCCATTGGTTCCCCTGCTCCGACTCGCCAGCTGGCTGCCAGCTGGCAGTGTGGGTCCGCCCCGCGTCGTCCGACGTGGCGCTGCTCTACCACCTGCTCGACACGCGCGCGTTCCGCTTCCTGCGCGCGCAGCTGCTCCCCCACTTCCGCCCGGCCGCCATCCTTGATGCGGGTGCCAACATCGGCCTCGCCTCCCTCATCTTCTCCCTGCGGTATGACGCGATTCTAGTATGAATTTATGATGTGCGGTATGGCAATGACACATTGTCACCTTGTCATTCAGCTGTGAATCTGTGGCATGTGCTGCGGTATGATGGGATTCATTGGTAAGTGCATGCCAAATGCTGGTGACACATGCCCCACCATCCTCAGCGCATTCCCCTTGGGCTTTCTCTTATCATAGTAACCCAAGTTTTTATGAACCATCCCCGTCTCTCACGTTCCTTCCCCTTTCCCCACTCCACTTCCCGCCCCTCTCTCCTTCCTGCCCCCCTCTCTCGTTCCTTCCTGAGCAGCTTACCCGGTGCGCTGATAGTGGCAGTGGAGCCAGCACTTCCGATCCCCCCCCCTACCGTCCATCCTCATTGCATTCTTCCGGTCCTCCCTTCTTCCCCCTTTCCCACCACTCTATCTTTCCTTCCTAATCAGCTTCCTGGATGCGTTGACAATGGCAGTGGACCCGGCACGGGACAACTTCGACCTGTTGGTGACCTGCTTGTTGTCCCTCACTCTTCGTCCCTCCGTGCTCATTGTTATTTCCTTGCCTCCATTACCCCCCTACCCCAAGCAGCTTCCCTAAAGCGCTGATAGTGGCAGTGGAGTAGGCACATCGGACTTCCCCCTCTACCCTCCGTCCTCAATGCATTCTCCCTCGTCCCCCCTCTTCCCCAACTTTCGTCCTCTCTCGTTCCTTCCTGAGCAGCTTCCCCGGTGCGCTGATAGTGGCAGTGGAGATGGCACATCCGACTTCGCCCCTCTCCTCCCTCATTGCATTCTCCTCGCCCTCCCCTCCTTCCCACCTCCTCTCTTTCCTTCCCAAGCAGCTTCCCCGATGCTCTCATAGTGGCAGTGGAGCCGGCACGGGACAACATCGCCCCTCTCCTCCCTCCACAATTGCATTCTCCTCGTCCTCTCTCCGTTCCCCTTTCTCCACACCTCTCTTTCCTTCCTGAGCAGCTTCCCCGATGCTCTCATAGTGGCAGTGGAGCCGGCACGGGACAACTTTGATCTGCTGCAGCGCAACGTGCAGCACCTCCCCCAGATACTGCCGGTCAATGCCGCTCTCTGGTCACAAGACACCCGCATAGCCGTCACTGCGGGCCGAAGGGAGGGCTTCTGGGCCTACGAGACACACGAGTGTGGGGAGACACGGATGGGGAAAGAGGAGCAAGCGCTTCATCAGCAAGAGAAACAGCAGCAAGAGCAGCATCAACAACAGGACGATCAGCAGAACCAGCAGCAACCCAGCAGCAGAAAGGATTCCACGTCACCACCTTCACCTGCTGATGCCAGTCGCTCACCTGCCTCCCCCTCCCCCTGCATGCCGGCTGTCTCGGTGCCGTCGCTGCTGCAGCGCGTGCATCTTCCACACTTTGACTACATGAAGATTGACATCGAGGGCGCTGAGAAAGAGGTGTTCTGCTCTCACGCAGGAGCAGCAGGGGCTACAGATTCAGCAGCGGGGGGGTGGCAGCACGATGCAACTTCTGAGGCGCCTCAAAAGGTAGCAGCAGGAGCGGCGGCAGCGGGGTGGCAGCTCGATGCGGCGGTGTTGTCAGTAGAAGTGCACGAGGATTTGGCACCGGGGATAGGCGCGTGCATGGAGGGGGTGTATCCGCGCACACGCTATGACGTGCGCACGTATGGGGAGAACACTGTGTATTTCAGCCCACACGTGTGGGTGCATGCACTGAAACCGCTGGATTTGAGTGTGCGGTGAACGAGGAGGCGTGTGTTGCTACTACCAGTGAAGGTAGGGAGTGTTTCCGCGCATCACAGTATGTCGTGCGCACATACGGCGAGAACGCTGTGTACTTCACTCCCCACGTGTGGGTGCATGCGCTGAAACCATTGGATTTGAGTGTGCGGTGAGCGAGGAGGAGCCTGTTGCTACTATCAATGAAGGTAGGGAGTGTTTCCATGCACACGGGATGACGTGCACTGCGCACATACGGAGATAACACTCTGAAGTACAGCCCACATGTGTGGGTGCATGCCCTGAAACCACTGGATCTGCACGTGCGGTGAGGGTGGGAGTGTGTTGCTACAGGGGGGTTGGGTGTAACTAAGATGCCAACTGAATTGACTTGACGCTGAGTGCGCTCACAGCTGCTGCAGGTGAGCGCGCCATGCCGCCACCTAAGTATACGGTACACCTTCATATGTTCCACTGTAGAGTTGACTCTACCGCTGCAACTTGGGTTACTGCTCTCTGTTATGATGGTGATGATGCCACCTGACTTCTCAAAGTACTGTAACTTCTGAAAGACTGCATCTTTTACTGTAACTACTCAAACTACTGTATTGCTACACCAGAATACGCATAACGCGCTTGAATTGAATTGCTGTGCTTAGTGTGGTCTTGTGTAGCTACGTACATAGAGTGCAGCCGGTTGTCGATCTCACTGGCGTTGGAAGTAGGCCATGCAGTGCAGCATACGTGACTGTTGTGCTTTGCCCTATCATACAGATAACACAATCCAGAGTGGATAATGTAGCTATATGGAACGCAATAGGTTGTCAATCTCATTGGCCACATATTGGAAGTAAGCCATGCGATGCAGCAGCCCCACACACACATGATGTTGCTGTGATTGCTTTGCACTATCATACCGGTAGGCACGCAGCCTACTGTGAGTTCTGGCAAAACTAGCTACATAGAGTGCAGCCGATTGTCGATCTCATTGGCTACACGTTGGAAGTAAGCCATGCGGTGCAGCAGCCCCACACACGCCCCCACATCTCCCCGTCTAAGCGCCTCGTCAAAGCTGCTGTACAGCCCTTGCATTCTCTCCTGGGTCTGCGCAATGCAGTGCACGGCACCCGGCCACACGAGGGAAAGAGAAAGGGGAAAACAGGATGTACTTGCTCCTAACATCTCCCTGGCATGCATGTGGCATGGGATTTTGACAGCCCTACTCTCTACCCCTTAATGATTTTGACAGCCCTACTTTCTACCCCTTAATGATTTTGACAGCCCTACTCTCTACCCCTTAATGATTTTGACAGCCCTACTTTCTACCCCTGAATGATTTTGACATCCCGAACAACAACAAAGCACGCATTTGCAAATGACAGCCTTTCCTACCCAAAGGTCAGACCCTTAGACGCCTCACCACGCCTCGCCTCACCTCACCTCACTGCACCACCTTGACCACATGAAACCAGCTCAACAAAGAATCAAGCAACTCCTGCCCCCCTTCCCTCCACATGCTCCCACCCCCTCAATCCCGCCTCCACATACTCCCACCCCAACAGCCCCTCCTCCTCTCCCCCACATCCTTGACCATCCCCACCTGCGTTTGCAGCGCCTGCAACTCCTCAAAGCTGTCCGCGTCCTCAATGGTTTCCCTCAGTTCCATCACCTGCAGGACCCCCAGACACACAGAAGTGGGCAGACGGGTGGCACGCTGTAAGTGAGAGGAGAACCTCAAGACGTTTAGAATTGCTGCAACTCCTCTGCACTGTCAGCATTCTCGCTGGTCTCCCTAAGCCCCATCACCTGCTGGATCTCCAGAGACACACACACACCCCTCACCAGTGAGAAGAGGGGTTGGCATGGCGTGAGTAGAATGCTAAAGGTTTCGCATCTCAAAGCTTGCGTCAAAACTCGAAGGTGGTCCTCAGCTGCATCACGTGCTGCACCATGCATGGTGGTGCAACGGCTGCTCATCAGGTGTATGTGCTGCACCGTCACATACACACCTGTGGGCAGAGGGGTGGCGCATTGTGGGTGCAATCGGCGCATGGGCAATGTTGTTGTAGCTCCATCCATCACCACCCACCCACCTTCCCCCCGGACTGTCGCCACTCAGCTCTGGTGCTGTCACTCCAGCGCCCTCCCCACAAAACAACCTACCCTTCCCAGTAGCACCCTCCTCCCCAGAAGCACCCACGCACCTCCATGAGCAACTGTTGGTCCCTCCCCGGACTGTCCCCACTCAGATCTGCTGGGGTGACGCCACTGGCCCGCAGCTGAGAGGTGCGGGGGGGGGGGGGTTGGAATGGGTGAGGGGCGAGGGGGGAGGGGGGATGTGAGGAGGCGAAGCGGAGAAATGGGGGAGCGCGAAGGGGGAAGACTCACGGCTGTCGCCACTCAGCTCTGCTGGGGTGACGCCACTGGCCCGCAGCTGTGAGGGGCGAGGGGTGAGGGGGACACGAGAGGAGAAAAGTGGAAAAAGGAGGGAGCACCAAGGGAGGAACAGTCTCGGCTGTCGCCACTCATCTCTGCTGGGGTCACGCCAGTGGCCCGTAGCTGAGAGGGGGGAGGGGGTGGTTGAGATGACCCGGATGGGAGAGGAAAGGGGAATGTGAGGAGAAAGAAGGAGAACTGTCAGGGAGGACAAAGAGAAAGAAGAAGTAAGGGAGGGATAAGGGGGGGAGAATCAGGCTGTCACCACTTGATCAGGGGGGGTTGACTCAGAATTCATCTGATTACGATGGCAGGGGGGGCACTTACAAGGTACTTGGCCCGGGAGAGCGGTCTGAGGAGTGTGTAGTAGGCGTCTATGACATGCGCTGCCTGCTCCGCTGATAGCGCTCTCTCCTCCTGCTCCATGAGGGTGGTCACGCACATGGACATGCAGATGCACATGCACACACACATCATGCGTTCACACCAACCATCATTCGGAATCTCGCCAAACGCCGCTCACCCACATGCAAACCGTCAGAGATACAATGGAGTTCAAAGCCATGCCATGCCATGCCATGCCACGCCACGCCATGCCATGCCATTCATGTGCAAAACGAGAGATGAATCACATACTTAGAGGCTCGCAGGAAACCGGATCCAAGAAGTCACCTCCCTTTACGATTTCTCATTCCGGCAATCATCGCTTGACCCTGCGCCGTGAGGCCCCTGCATCACACTCCTCACCTCCGTCCTGCCCCCATGCAAGTCCGGGTGCAGCATCTTCTGCAGCTGCTGTGAAGGAACATACCTATGCACATGGACATGCATGCTACATACTCAGAAGTCACATCCCTTTCCCCTCCCCCCTTTTTTGACCCCCCCTTTTCTCACCTCCGACCTGCCCCCATTTAGGTCCAGGTGAAGCATCTTCTGCAGGTGCTGTGAAGGCGAGTGCCCATGTCTGTACCTCCCGTTCCCTTCCCCCCCTCCTCCCAGCCCCCTCCTTCTTCCCCTCTCTCTCACCTCCGACCTGCCCCCATTTATTTCCGGGTGCAACATCTTCTGTAGCTGCTGAGAAGGGGAATACCCTTGTGAGAATTCTCAAAAGAGGAAAACCACATGCACCTCCTCCCCTCTCCCCCACTCCCCCTGACCCCACCTCTCCTTCCTCTTTCTCCCCCTCTCCCCGCGTCTCACCTCCGACCTGCCCCCATGCAGGTCCGAGTGCAATGGAGCATCTTCTGCAGCTGCTGTGAAGGAGAGTATTTACACTACGCCCAAGGTGGACTCATTGCAACCCTAGGGCTAATATTTAACCTTAATTTTTATTTTAGGAATTTTGACTCAGCTGAATGCTTCTTTAACCTTGCCAGGTATTACGGGCATTGTGCTGACCATAGGAATGGCCATTGATGCTAATGTTTTAATTTTTGAACGAATACGAGAAGAACTCCAGACAGGTCTATCTATGAAGGTAGCTGTGGCGCACGGTTACCAAAAAGCCTATAGCTCCATTGTAGATGCTAACCTAACCACCTTTTTGACTGGATTGATTCTCACCCCACGCCTCAGCCCACGCCTCACCCCATGCCTCACCCCATGCCTCACCCCATGCCTCACCCCATGCCTCACCCCACGCCTCACCCCACGGCTCCCCCCACGGCTCCCCCCACGGCTCCCCCCACGGCTCCCCCCACGGCTCCCCCCACGGCTCCCCCCACGGCTCCCCCCACGGCTCCCCCCCGTCTCACTCACCTCCGACCGGCCCCCATGCAGGTCCGGGTGCAGCATCTTCTGCAGCTGCTTGTAGCGCTGCTCCAGTAGCGATAGGTCGATGGCGAATGCACGTGGGCTGGAGAGCGGTGGGCGCGGGGGGGAGGGGAAGGTGTGGGGTGGAGGGAAGGAGGGGAGGAAGTGGATAGGGAGAAAGAGCATCTCATGCAGCTGCTTGTAGCGCTTCTCCAACAGAGATAGGTCGATGGTGAATGCATGCGGGCTGTGGGGCGGTGGGCAGGAGAGAAGGGAGGGGAGAAATAGCGGAGCAATCCGCGACTCACAGGCCGAACGCTTCAAACAGGTGCGTCTGTTTGTCCACCGGTTGATGAGAGGTTACTTTTGAGATGTCCCAAGCATAACCCTTGATCATGATTCATGCCTCCCAATCGCAAGCACGCCAACCAATCACTCGGAGCCCGAACAATTCGAACAGGTCCCTCTGTTTGTCCACCGGTTGCAGCGCAGCGCGCCACATGTGACATGACATGCCCACCACAGCAGCTGATCGCAAACTGCAGAAGACGCCCCGAAAGCTAAGAAAGGAGTCCAATGCAATCACAGTCCGCCACTCACAGGCCAAACAGTTCGAACAGGTCCGTGTGTTTGTCCACCGGTTGCAGCGCGCCACATGTCCCGCAGAAGAACCGCCACGTCAGCGGATCGCCCTCCTTGCTCGCGCCATCCCCCCTGCCCCTCGCGCCCTCCGCTTCCGCATCCGCGTGCATGTCATCCGCGGACGGGTTGCCCTTTCCCCCCGCGCGCGCATCAGCGACGCGATCGGCGGAGCACAGCCAGCACGCGGACGCGCCATCAGCTGCTGACGTGGCAGGGGTCGCAGATTCGACGGGCCTGTCACGACCGCCGCTGCTGCCGGTCGTCGCCGTCGCGTTTCCTGTGCGCGCCTCGTCGTGGTGGCACGGCTCGGCGGCGGAATGATGGCAGCGCGCTGCCGCCGCCCCCGCCGCCGCCGCTTCCGCTGGTGCTGCTGCTGTTGCGGATTCTGCGCGTGGCGCGGCAGGCCAAAGCGTGTGAGGCATGCAGGGCGCGTGAGAGCGCGCCGATGCTGTAAGCGCGGAAGGAGGCGAGGGCAGAGCGGGCTGCCAGCGACCGCGTGGTAGGAAGGCCGGTTGAAAACAACCGTCAGGAAATCTTTGTGACGTGGGCTGCGACGTAAGTTGCGACGTGGGTTGCGACGCGGCAGGCCGCAGAGAGTCTGTTGTACCGGCGGCGAATTGGGTGCGTGCGGCGGAGTCAGCACGCGCGTGGTGACCGGCGGAGTCAGCGGGAGAGAGACCAACGGCGGGTTGGACGGCACTCGGCGCTGATGCGAATGTGCGGCCGGCGGTGCTTGCGACGAGCAGGTCGCGCAGGCGACACTTGGCGATCTGTTTCAGCGAGCCCGTCGCCATGGCGGGAAAGAAAATGTCAAGGGCCAAACGAAGAACGCTGCTCTCAGGGGAGGCTCCTGATAGCGAGGGTACAGCAGAGCTTGCAAACCCCTCGGCTCGCTACCACCAGCCCCGCTACCGCACGAGAGGCTGCACAATTACAATTAACATCCCTTACCAGTACATGTTGTGTGCAAAGTTCTAGTTATGTGGGTGCATAACGAATGCTCCCCACGACGAACACAAAGCATGCTTTGGGTTTAGCTTACATGAATGTGGCTTGCTGAACAATATTCAACCACGCTCTTACAGTGCCACCAATTTACATTACCGGCAGATTAATACACTTTACCATACACTTGTACTAACAGACAATCAATATGCAAATAGACGCCGTCGTCACGCAGTACCGTGAAATAAAAGAAAACATACGGCACTAATGCATCGCATCACCTCCTCGACCACCACCGAAAACCTAGTTGTCAACAACCTCCAGTTCACATGTGCGTGTTGGTCCATTGCGCTCCTTCCACTGACATTTTGATTTCTACTCATCCCCATCGTACTCGTCATCCTCATCCTCATCCTCAAACTCATCATCAAACTCATCCTCATCATCAAACTCATCCTCATCATCAAACTCATCCTCATCATCATACTCATCCTCATCACCAAACTCATCATAAAACTCATCATCACCATCACTATCATCATCACCATCACTCTCCTGCTCCTCTTCACCAACCGACCTCCAGCTCCGTCTTTCTACCCTGGACCAATCCTCATCGTATTCGTCATCAAACTCATCACCGTCGCTATCAATACCATCCCTATCATTACGATCCCTCTCCCGCTCCTCTTCACCAACCACCGGCTTCCAATTTCGTCTTTCCACCATAAACCACTCCTCCTCATCCAGCCTATACCCCTCCATCAGCCCGCGATTCACACTGTGCATTTTGTCACGCACGCTCTTCCGCCCATTCCTAAAAGACGCGCTGCTCTTCCCTCCTCTCGGCCCCCTCACATGCGCCACCGGCCCACCCTCCACCCTCACCCCTTTCCTCTCCCAGTACCACGTGTGCCTCGCAACGGAGTACAGCGCCAGGGAGGGATACCTCGCCTTGAGATCTACCAGCAGGCCTGCTGGTGTGTCGCGGCGGGTCGGGAAGAACATAGCTCGCAGATTCGGAGCGTTGATGCTCGGAGGGATGCACCAGCGAGAGGAAGTAGGCCTGCGTGACGGCGTCGCACGCTCTGGTAAACCATAAACATCATCACCACCATCATCGTCATCATCATCATCTTCATCAGCAAGCTGGTTCCCAAACGGGCCTGCATGGAACCGAGTGAGCCCTTGATTCCTCATCCTCCACTCCGTCTCCCTCGCCTCCGCCTGCTCCTTCCTTCTCTGCGCTCTCGTCCACTCAATAATCTCATCCCCGTCTGCTCTCTTCACATCTTCCACCGCCATCTCCCCACGCACCGGGTTCACCACATCGTAATTGCTCGCCACGACAATCCCGAGGCTCTGCAGCCGCGGCCAGGGGAACCTGCAGGCGCCAAGGTCGATGTCGTGCCTCGCTATAAGCAGCTCCACTGTTGGTGCGAGCGCACGCAGCCAGTCCGCCCATGCAGAGGGCTGCGGCGGCAGCAGTTCTATCGGGGCGTTGAGGTATAGCGCACGGACAGAGGCAACATTGAAGGAGGCAATATGGATCCTCTCTTCCCCAAACAGCAACAGCTGGGTCAAGGCGAGCGGACGGGCGGAGCGGCAGGCGAGCGTGAGGGACTGGGCACAGGCGGAGAAGGAGGTGAGGGAGTGGTGAGAGAGGGCGAGCTTCAGCTTGAGCTCGTGGGTGAGGAAGCGGAAGGAGAGGCGGCGAGCCCTCGGGAACTCCAGCGCCAGCAGCACCGGTCCTTTGCAGTCGTCCCCTCCCTCCTCCTCCAGCTTCCACGGCTCGCAGAACAAGAACTCGTGCAGCTGAGGGGAAATGGCAGCCAGGGCTTTAAGAGAGATCCCCCTGGGGTCCACATTTTCTAGGGTTAAGCTCTGAAGGGACTGCATCCAGGGGGCGGTGAGGCAGCTTTTACCCAAGCACCAGGCGCCACGCCCGAGTGTGAGAGATTGCAGGGAGGTGCAGGGTGTGAGAAATGCCAAGTTCCAGTGGCTCTGGCGATAATCCTCCTTGGAGATAGTCTCTCTGATGCTCAGAGTAAGTTGCAGGGATGAAATGGAGGAGGCGGCGGGGGAGGAGGGGAGAGTGAATGGGCGGCGGATGAGCGGGATGAGGGAGGGGTGGGAGAAGGAGAGGCGGAGGGAGGGGAGGGCGGGAGAGCGGGAGAGCAGCCAGCGCACGCTGGTGGTCCACTGGGGCTGGGCGGGGCTGAGGTGCAGACTCATGGGCGTGCCTTGTTCCTGGTGGCGGATGCGAGTGGGAGGGAGGGGGGAGGGAGGGGGGAGGGAGGGCGGGAGGGAGGAAGGGAGAAAGGGAGGGATGGTCGGACGGACGGACGGACGGACGGACGGAGTGAGGAGAGGAAAGGGGAGAGGGGAAAGATGGAGGGAGGGGAGAAAGAGGGCAGAAGGTGTGAGAGCGCGAACAGGTGGAAGTGGAGGTGATCAGCTGAGGGTCCAGCACTAGGTGTAGTGAGGGAGAGAGGGAGAGCGGGGCAGAGCGAGCATGGGACTCACGGAGAAGGAGGCGACGTGGCTGAGCAGCCTCTTGCTGGCGAGCGCGCAGCACAGCAGAGGCCACGAGGAGCCGAACACTCGGGCGTTGTGAGCATGCAGCCAGCACGGCGACACCCCGGCCTTCACGAACACCACTCTCTCCTCCTCCTCCTCGTTGTCGCTCTCGCCTGCACTGCCCTTGCCCTCGTCCACGCCTCTGCTGTAACTACTCTTGCCGTTGCTGCTGGCGCAAGTCTCAGCGCTCCGTGCGTCGTTGGTGCCATCACCAGCATTGCTGCCACTCGCATTCGCCTCTGCGCGCCGTGTGGCGGAAGCACCACCACCATCGCTGCCTTCGGCATTCGCCTTGCTGGCCTTCGTCTCTGCACGCTGCGCCGCGGTTAGCGCGCGGCAGTAGTAGCGGCCGCCCGCGGAGTGCGGTGGGGTGGCAGTGCAGGGCCGCTCCAGTAGCAAGAGGAAGATGCGATGGCAGAGCGCCGCTGGTAGCGCGTCGATCAGGTCGCTGGCCTGGTCTGAGAATGAGGGAGGAGGGAGAGAGGGAGTGGGAGAGGAGACTTTTGCGTAGACTCAACAGTCAGGGGCGGTCCAGCAGCAAATGCGGTGCCAGAGCGCTGCTGGGAGCGCGTCGATCAGATCGCTGCCATGGTATGAGGATGAGCGAAGGGGAGATAGAGAAAGAAAGAGGGAGAGAAATATTAGAGAGTGAGAGAAAGAGGGAGAGAAATAGGGAGAGAAAGAGGGAGAGAAATAGGGAGAGAAAGAGGGAGAGAAATAGGGAGAGAAAGAGGGAGAGGAAGAGGGAGGAGAAGAGGGATTAGAAATAGAGAGGGAGAGAGTTAGGGAGAACGAGGGAGAGGGAGAAAGAGAGGTAGAGGGAGAGATAGAGGAACATGGAGAAGAGAGTGAGAGGGATAGCGGAAGGTTTACAGGCGGAGATATGAACGGGATCGTAGGGGCGGGGAAGAGAACACGATTTCAAATTCAAAATTGTGCTGTGTTGCGATGCTGGAAGCGAACGCATTCTGCTTCAAAGACTACAAGGAACGAACGAAGTTGGGAGAAAGAGAACATATATGTCTGGTGAGACGACGAATGAAGGTGGGTCGTAGAGACTTACGGCGATCGAAAGGGATGGACTGATTGTGCGGAGAGGAGCGAGAAAAAAAAATCTATCAGCAGAGCAGGAGGGAAGTTTGGGTGCCTTGAGGCACAAAAATAAGAATCAAGGGACTGCGTCGCGGTAAAACCAGGCTTTGCTAGGAATGTAAGTCCTTGCCTTCAAGGTCAGCGTCGCCTTGACGCCTATCGTTCCCTCGCCTCCTCTTTTCACATCGCTCGCTCGTCCCTCTCAGATCGTAATTCGGATCCCCAGCAGCACCTCCCAGCGGCGACGATGCCATTGCGATTGCGAGTCGTCGGGATACCTGTTTAACTGGCTATAAAACAGCGCTCTCGCCTCTCGTCGTTCTCATCATCACGGTGAAATCTGCTCACTACTGTCAAAGTATGCTTGATCGCGTGGTAAGTTCAGCCCTTGTACGGGTATGGGATGGACCCAGAACATGAATGGAGAAGTGTGCGAGTGGCTGGGGGCTGACTTATTCAGCTCAACAAACCTGGAGGCTGAGAATTCGAGATGAATTGCCGTGGAGGAGTATATGGGCGATATTTTTGGTGGGAGATTTTCGTTTCCGCTTCCTATAGGGGTGGTTGTGTGTCGGGGCAGAGGAGACACGTCAAGATACGGGGAACTAGCGGTCGAATGGTTTGATTTGAACAGCTCAAACGGTTTTCTGTGGCGGGAGACAATTCCTGTCAGGGTGAACGCGACGCGACGCGAAGCTGTCAAATAACATACATTATTAATAATTACGGATTACTGCCACGGATCTGTGGCGCAATGGTAGCGCGTCTGACTCCAGATCAGAAGGTTGCGTGTTCGATTCACGTCAGGTTCAAAACCTGGTTTTTGTGCACCTCGGGAGTCTGACCATCTCTTATGCCCCACCCACCCCCCTTTCTTCCATCAGCAAGCGGAGCAGGAAGTATTTGTGCTGGCAGGCTGATGCTGGCGGCACCTTGTGCCCAGGTGTGACAGTGGAGTGGACCCTAGCTGGGACATCGGCCCACACAAGTCGGGCTTCGGTGTATGGTGGGGAAAAGAGGAGCATCGCACCATCTTCTTACTGCCTTTCGACTGTCAGCCTTTCTGAAAGCTTGTCAAGCAGACGTCTGTAAAGAAAGGGCTAAAAAAATTGTCGAAGCTCAAATGCCCGAAAAGATGGACCGACAGGCAGCACGCGCAGTGTCTGAATCAGAGCATGCACCCATTCAGCAGCCATTCAGTACCCTCTGCACGCACTCAGGTCGCACGTAGTGGTACCGGTAGGTGCAATGAGCAGTCATGATCTTAGTGACATTCCCTTTCCTTAGAATATCTCAGCCGTCCAAGGTACATCAAAGTACACTTCACACTCTCCATAACTGCATCACATTATTACAGCCCGGACCCGGACCCCGAGTGTTGCTAATTGCCTGGTGACTAACAATATCCAAACAATCGAACATGTTCAATGTTCACCATTTATGTGGATGCGCAGCAGGTGCCTCTGAACAGGCGCTTATGAAGCAAGATTGACGTTGATGCAGTTTACTTTACCGTATCATCTTGAGAATGTCTCCCAAGTCCAGGACCGGCATAGAGCTGTAGAGAAACCACAAGGGGAGGGAGAAAACCCAAATTGAGACAAGTCAAGAATCGAGTACGGTATGGATCATCTTGAGAATGTCTCCCATGTATGCAACAACAGAAGACAGGTATGCAACGAGGATGCGATAAAGCATTGCACATGGTTACATGGCTCCAGGGCTAGATAGCATATGGCTACATCCTGTGATGACATTTGCAAGTTACCTGGGCGCAATAGGAGGTTTAGTTACCTCGACGGACGAGGAAGTTTCCTGGCCCACAAACAAGTCCCTGAGCGCACAAGGAAGTTACCTGGACGCACAAGGAAGTTACCTGGGCACATGAGGAACCTACCTGGACGCAAGATGAAGTTTCGTGGGCACACGAGGAACGCACAAGGAAGTTACGTGGGTCCAGGAAGTTACCTGGATGCACGAGGAAGTTACCTGGGTGCACAAGGAAGTTACTGGACACACAAAGAACTTACCTGGATGCACAGGGAAGTTACCTGGATGAATCAGCTGTAGGGGAAGGTGGAGGCAAGGGGGCAAAGGAGGCAATAGGGGGACTGGCTCGGGGGTAACGGAAGGTGCCACCAGTTGGAGGTGCGCTCATTCGAAGAGGCACTCTTGGTCCTGTCGGGTCTGCTGTATATATTGGCCCTTCTTCCCCTGTTGCTGCTGCACGTGATGCACCCGCCACTGCTGTTGCATCTACTGGCCCTTCTTCCCTTGCTGCTTCTGATGTTCCTGCACGTGATGCACTCGCCTTTGCCGCTGCTGCTCCTCCTTTTGCCTTGCCAGCAGCAGCAGCTGCTGCTGCCTTCCCCTTGCCTGCCGCCTTTCCCCTTCCATTTTCAGCCTTCCCTCCTGCTCCTGCCCTCCCTTCTGCCGATGCTCTTCCTCCCACTCCATCTACAGCAGCAGCAGTGGGTACCTGTGATGACACGGATGCTGTATCTGTGTCTGGAGCACCAACCGCGTTACCACCTGCTGCTGCTGCCCCTGCTTCTGCCCCTGCCCCTGCCCCTGCTTCTGCTGCTGCTGCTGCCCTTGCTTCTGCTGCTGCTGCTGTCCCTGCTTCTTCTGCTGCTGCTGCTGCTGCTGCTTTACCTGCCTCCGCTGCTGCCTTTCCTCGGCCCACCGCCTTCCCTCTCCCTGATGCCTTCCCCCCTGCAGCGGCAGCAGCAGGTGCACCACTAACAGGTGCAGCAGGAGGAGGGTGAGCAGCAGGAGGAGCAACAGCAGAAGCCACGGGATCAGCGGCAGCAACTGGAGGTTTAGCAGCAGGAGGCCTGCCGCGCCTCTTGGCCGGTGGGGGAGCCCCATCAGCAGAAGCAGAATGAAGATCATTTGCACTAGAGGCAGCTCCAGTAGCAGCAGCAGCAGCAGTAGCAGCAGCAGCAGCAGCAGCACGGGGCCTACCGCGTTTCTTGGCTGCTGGAGGAGCCCCATTGGCAAAAGCAGAATGAAGCTCATCCGCACCAGAAGCAGCTCCAGTAGAAGCAGCCGCAGCAGTAGAAGTAGCACCAGTAGCAGCAGGCACAGCAGCAGCAACAGCAGCAGCAGATGCAGTTGCAGCAGGCACAGGGGCAACAGGGGGAGCATGAGCAGGAAGATTCATAGCACCCCTCCCCCTCCCCCTCCCCCTCCCCCTACCCCTCCCCCTCCCCCCTGCTCTTCCAGCTGCCAGAGGAGCCGCCTCCCTGGTGCTTGCAGTCTTGGCTGCTGCAACAGCTGGAGCAGCCGCGGCAGCAGCAGCAGCAGCAGCAGCAGCAGCAGCAGCAGCAGCAGCAGGGGCTGCAGCCGTTGCTCCCGTCTTGCTCCCCCCCGTCTGTGCTGCTGCTGCTGCTCCTGCTGCGGGTGCCGCCGCCGTTGCTGCTGATGGCTCTTTGAGACCTCCCTTCTTTGTGCTTGCCTCCTCTCTTCCTCTCACACCCTTCGCCTTTTCTGCACCTTCTGCCTTTTCTTCACCCTCTGCATTCCCCGCAGCCCCCTTTTTCTTGGCGTCCCCTGACACCATCCCTTTGTCCATTTCCGCTCTCTTGCTGGTGCTGGCCTGTTTCTTGCTCTTGTCATCCAGTTTCCTCTTCCTCCTCTTCCTCCTCCTCCTCGTCACTCTCCTCGTCACTCTCCTCCTCACTCTCATCCTCCCCTTCTTCCTCACTCTCCTCCTCTTCTTCCTCCCTCACACCCCCCTCACTCTCTGTCTCGCTCCCCTCACTCTCCTCTTCACTCGCCGCCTCACTCTTCTCATCCTCCTTCCCACCTATCATCACAACACCCACTCGCTCTGCATCACCACCTTTTCCTCCTGATCCTGCTGCACCAGATCTGATAGCTCCTTTGCTTGCTCCGTCTTGTTTGCCTCCCACTGCCTTCACTGCTAGTTCCTTGGCTTCTACTGCTTTACCCCCCGCTGCTGCTGCTTTCCTGTCTGCTCCTTTCCCGTCCGCCTTCTCTTTTGCTTCGTGTTTGCCTCCCCTTGCCTTCAGAGCTAGTTCCTTGTCTGCTGGTGTTTTACCTGCTGCTTCTGCTTTGCTGCCTGCTCCTTTCCCGTCCGCCTTGCTTGCTGCTCCTTTCCCGTCCGCCTTGCTTGCTGCTCCTTTCGTTGCCACTGCTTTGCTCGCAGCAACAGCAACAGCGGCAGCAGCAGCAGCAGCAGCAGCAGCAATGGATCTGGTCTGAGCCTTGTCAGTTCGCTCCTTGTTTCTCTCTGCACCGCTCTCCAACACCACGACCTCATCATCTGACTCCTCTTCCTCCTCTTCCTCCTCTTCCTCTTCCTCCTCCTCTTCCTCCTCCTCTTCCTCCTCTTCCTCCTCCTCTTTGTCTGTCTTCCCTCTATCCTTCCCTACCAATTCCTTTTCTTTCACCTTTCCTTTCTTTCCTGCCTCCACTTCTACCTCCTCCTCTGCTTTCTCCTCAGACTCTTCTTCTGTCTCTTCCTCAGTCTCAGAATCATCACCGTCAGTTTTTGTCTTCCCATCCTCCTTCGCCTTTGCCTCTGGAACTTTCGGTTTCCCATCCTCATCCTCCTCCTCTTCCTCTGACTCTTCTTCTGTCTCCGAATCATCAGCGCCAGTTTCCATCTTCCCCTCCTCCTTCGACTTGGTCTTTGAAGCTTTCACTTTCCCCTCCTCATCATCCTCCTCTTCTTCCTCCTCTTCTTCCTCTTCTTCCTCCTCTTCCCCTCCCTTCTCCCTGTCCTCCTCATCTTCCTCTGCTTTGTCTGTCATTCCTCTATCTTTCCCTACCACTTCCTTTTCTTTCGCCTTTCCTTTCTTTCCTGCCTTCTCCTCTGCCTCCTCATCTGTCTCTTCGTCTGATTCCTCTTCTGTCTCCGAATCATCACCACCATCTTCCGTCTTCCCCTCTTCCTTAGCCTCTGCCTCCGACTTTTCCACTTTCCCCTCCTCATCCTCCTCCTCTTCTTCCTCCTCTCTGTCTGTCTCCCCCTTATCCTTCCCTGTCACTCCCTTTCTTTCCTTTCCTGCCTCCTCTTCTTCCTCCTCTGACTCTTTGTCTGATTCCTCTTCTGTCTCCGAATCATCACCACCATCTTCCTTCTTCCCCTCCTCCTTCGCCTTTGCCCCTGAAACTTTCACTTTCTCCTCCTCTTTCTTCTCCTCTTTCTCCTCCTCTTTCTCCTCCTCTTTCTCCTCCTCTTCCTCCTCCTCTGTCCCCTCGTCCTCCCCATCTCCCCCATCCTCTGATTCCCCTTTCTCAAGCTCCATATCCTTCACTTCCCTCTTTCCTTCCTTTCCTTCCTCCTCACCATCCGTCTGACTCCCCCCCTCACTTTCCTCCTCACTCTCCTCACTCTCATCCCACACCAAAGTCACCACTTCCTCAATCGTACCCCCTCCACCACCACCCTTCACACCAGCACCCCGTGAGCTATCATCAACACCATCTGGTGCTCCTTCCGTCCTTTTCATCTCGTCCTTCCCTTTCACCTCATCTTTCCCTTTCACCTCATCTTTCCCTTTCACCTCGTCTTTCCCTTTCCCCTTGGTCGTTTCCTTCTCCTTCACCCCTTCCCTCTCCTTCATCTCATCCCCTCCACCCTTCTCTTCCCTCCCCACAGTCGCACCTCTCTCATTTCCCTTCCCAGCCCCTCCTCTCTCCAACACATCTCGTTCCACCGCCCCCCGATCGCTCTCTCTCCCCTCCACCACCCCATCCTTCTCACTCCCCTCCCCCACTCTTTGCCTTTTCCCTGCCCGTCCCACGCCCACACTCCCCCCGCCCATCCTCTCCCCATCAGGCACACCATCAGTCGTCTTCCCATCTGCCTTCGCCCCAGCTTCCTCCTCTGTGGTGCAATCTGCTGTCTTCCCATCTGCCTTCTCCCTACCCCCCTCCTCTCCTATTCCATCACCCACCCTCTGCTCGTCCACGCTCTCCCTCCTCCGCTTCCTCTCAACCCCCCCTTCACCGCGCACCTCTCCATCCACCTGCGCGTTTCCTTCCCCTCTCCCTGACTCCCCTCCCCCTGATTCCCCTCCCCCTGACTCCCCTCCCCCATGCTTCCCCCCATGTCCCCCTCCCGCCTCTGGTCTCTCCTCACCCTCTCCTTTCTCCTTGCCCTCGCAGCTCCCAAGCACCCACCCATTTTCACCACCTACCTCCGCGCCTCTCATGGCCTCTCCCGCTCCCCTTTCTCCCTCTCCCTGCCCTCCTTCCCCTCGCCCTCCTCCCCCCTCTCCCCTGATTCCTCCCTCTCCCGCCGGCCCATCTGTCAACAGGGGCGCATTGTCCCCTCCCCTCCGCTCCATCTCCTCCCCCTCCAGCCGCATTCTCTTCCCCCCTCTCCCCACCACCACCCCCCTCACTCTCCTCCTCTCCCCTGATTCGCTGACCGCCTCCACGCCCCTCCCTGCCACGTCAGCGGCAGCGAGGGCGGACAGCAGCCCACGCTGGAACGCCACGTGGTCGCTGGAGAGACTGCCACGTGGCAGTTGGTGGTGAGGAGACGGTGAATGGTGGTCGAGATGGCTGAAGGGGGATTCGTTGTGACTTGGAAGAGAGGAACCGAATGCAAGGTGGTGGGTCAAATAGTCTGTTGGGTAGGCATGAAAGGTAGAGGGTGAAAGGAGGAAAAGGAGGAGGTGTGCGAGGTTTAACGGACCAAAGTACCGTGCTCTTTTGCATGCGTGCGTTGGGACTGGGGCATCAGGAACAAATGAATTGCAACTCCAAGGGAGGGTCATGCAACGAAGAGGGTGTTTACCCCAGCACTCCATGTCTAGACACATTGAAGCTTGGTACTAAAACACAACCCAGACCGGAAAGGTACTTGGAACGATGAAAGGATACAGGGGAACTAACAAACAAAGAAACCAACAAGTCAAAACCATGCACGAAAAAAGATGACACACTAGTCACCTACAACAACCCAAGGGAGCTCACCGCTGACATCAGCAGCAACGTCAGCATCCCCGGTGAAAGCGAGGATGACGTCATCAGGTTGCAACACGTCGGCCAGTCTGAGTTGTGGGGCGACGGCAAACAGAGAGGCCTGGCGCAGCACCTGATGGGCGCGCGTGGGAGCAATGGGGGAAAACACAATATTTGAGTCGTTAAAAATATCGACGGCAAACAGAGAGGCCTGGCGCAGCACCTGAGGGGCGCGCAGGGGACGCAGGGGGGTGAGGAGGGGGGAAGTGGATAAGTGGGGGAGAAGACTTTGGAGTCAACTCAAAAGTCACCTCCAAACAGAGAGGCCTGTCGCAGCACCTGATGGGCGAGCATGGATAGGAGTGAGGGGGGGGGAGGGGGAGGAGAGAGAACGCGAGAATGACGTCTTCATGCTTCAACACGTTGGCCTGTTTGAGTTGTGGGGCGACGGCAAACAGAGAGGCCTGGCGCAGCACCTGGCGCGCATAGAGAGTACCGGGGGAGAGAACAAGGGGAGAAGAGATGAGAGGGATGCGAGGGGGATAAGTGGGGGCTGACTCGGAGGAGGGGCAAACAGAGAGGCCTGGCGCAGCACCTGATGGGCGAGCAAGGATGAGAGGAAAGTGGACGCAGAGGTGGGGGGGGGAGAAAGTGGATAAGGGGTGGAATTGGGGAATGGAAAGGGATAAGAGGAGGATAAGCGGGGGATAAGTGGTAGAAGGGGGGACTGAAGTGGAGTTGAAGCAAGGAGAGAGAGAAAAGATGATGGTGACTGTCGAATAAGTGCAGTGCAGTTTGGCTCAAATGGTTTCTGCGCCAAACCACCAACTGCCACAAGCAGACTGTATGATTCGATTCGATATAATGGTGCATCCCAAAAGGTAATTCTGTATTGTAGGGTAGGCTGGAGTCTAGGTCCAGGGTTCGAAAAGGATGCAAACCCCAACCCTGAACCCTGAACCCTCGGTCTAGGGTTTGAGAGCAGAATGTTTGGGATTGAAAGGCCGATGATTTGAGTTCTGGAGACACACTGGTGGGTTTTAAGAGAGGGGTTTAAGGTTTGGGTTGAAAGAACTGGTAGAAATGAAGGGCATGGCACGTGCCTCAAGGGAGGGGTGGCACATGCCCTTGGGAGGGGTGGCACGTGCCCTTGGGAGGGGTGGCACGTGCCCTTGGGAGGGGTGGCACATGCCCTTGGGAGGGGTGGCACATGCCCTTGGGAGGGGTGGCACATGCCCTTGGGAGGGGTGGCACGTGCCCTTGGGAGGGGTGGCACCGTGGCACATGTAGAAATGGATGGCATGCCATGTTTCTCAAGGGTGGGAAGCAGAAGCACGCACCTTAGCTGACTCGAAACGAATGCTCCCCATGTGCGGGTGCATGTGCTCGTGCTGCTGCCCTACCATGCCTGACACGCAGCCATAAGGGGGGAATTGCAGGAGACATGAGAAGTTTAAGAGAAAGAGAGGAGGATGAGGAGGAGTATTTAAGGCGTCAGATTTTAACGAGGGCTTTAAGGCTCCAGTTACACTTCTGTGATCCGTCGTTTCCTTTCCAAGGGTTTAGGGGAGCAGACGGAGACCTCATGGCGAAGGCAGGGAAGCCGCAGGGGGTGGCAGGCAGGGAGGTGTGGGACGGGGAATGCAGCGAGCGAATGAATAGATGTTTTGTGTCTGAGTGTCGCAGTCGAGCCCTTCATCACTGTGTTTCCGCTGGCGGAACGCGACAGAGAAAGGCAGCAAGGAACGGGGCGGTTGGAATGGGAGAAAGAGAGGCTTTAAGGAGTAGATGCGGGACACGTGGGAGACGAGTGAGGCGGGGGAAACAACGTGGACGAGGGGGGCGGGGGAGAGAAGGGGACGGGGGAGCGATTGGAGGGACGGGGGAGATGAAGAAGGCATGGGGGACGGGGGAGACGGGGAGCGCGAGGGGGACGCACGGAGGAGGTCGCTGATGGCGGCGGTGGGCGCGACGGGCACGAGCAGGCGCGTGCCCAGCACGGTGTGCACGTGCATGCACCACGGGGAGATGTCGCCTTCCCCAGGTGACACCTGCTCCAACGGCGATGCCACCTCTCCGGCCGCCATCCCTATCGCCGCCACCCCGCCCGTCGCTAAACCGTCTGCGTCTACCGCTCCTCTCCCTACTCCGCCCCTTCCTGCCCCGCGCGTCGCTGCCCCTCCCCGCGCGCCCGCTGCTCGCCCTCGCGCCATGACGGCAGCAGCTCGTGCGCCTTAACGAGCAGCGTGTTCCTTCTCCAATGATCGCCGTGCGATGCCTGCGCGAGCCTGTGCGTTGCCTGTTTGATCCGTGTGCGACGCCTGTGCGATCCGTGTGCGAAGCGTGTGCGGTGCCTGTGTGCCAAATAAATCCCTACCCTAGAGTTGACTCTCCGACGGCTCGTGCTCAAAATCTTGGTCAATCCAATCCCAATACTCCTCTTTTCCTAGTCAGTCTGGACTGGAAACCTCGTGTGGAGAACGAGGGTTGTTGAGGCTGCACGTTGCTAAGCCTACCTACTGTTTTATGAGCTTGAAGGGACCCTGCGCTGATATACAGAGCCCTGAACCCTGAGCCCTCGGACCTATTTGTTTCGTATGATGTCAAGCACGTTGCTGCGCAGCAACGAATACGGGACATGCTTGTAGCGACGAATACGGAACGAAACCCCATCCAGTTCATCCTGTCAACTGATACTCTTGCGGAAGACGACACACACTTTCCTCGTGTCGTGATTCTAGCCCGTAAGACACCACCAAAATGACCCGAAATTGATACCTTCCCGGCGTGTAAACACTTCCTGCACATTCTGAGCCAGCAGGTTCAGATTGTTTGAAATTTGAAATCTGACACGTGCGGCGGCAGCACTGTCAGCCGAGCAGCATTCATTGGGAACATCAGTCACGCCCTGACGTGCAAACTCCTCCCATTTTCTTGGGACTTCCATTTTCACTCCACCACTTCCAGTCGGCATGGCTAATGTGACACAGATTAGTGCGTTTCAACGGCTACCAGCTAATGTGATCCCATTGGTGCTCTGATTCGCCATTTGCTCTCTACGGACGAAAACTTCCAGCAGTCATTAATGGCATATCCAGGTTCGTGCACGCGAAGTATCTAACATTAAACACTAACTAATATTAATCTCACCTAGTGCGTTCAAGTCGAGCTCTTTTTTCACAGATGCCGGTGTCATTGTCCAGCTTTGAGACGTCTCAAAACTCAAGGCGATCTCTTGCTTCACAGATGGCGGTGTCATTGTCCAGCTACAGATTGGTACTGCTGTTCAGGATAATGCTGTAAGGGAACGATTACCCAGGTGAACGTTAGGCGAGCAGCAAGAACTGTACCAAGAACACTGCGTTTCCATCCTATTTCCTCGCACGAACCCCACTCCCTGCCGCTTATCTTCCCTGTGGCTTTGCGCCTCTTCAATGCGGTCCGATGCCTGTTATATTTTCTTCGTTGTCCCGATTTTCGCGTAAAATTATGACGCTCTTTTTTCACATTTGTCACCCCGTTGCTCCGTGCTCTCCCTGCTGCGAGCGTGACCCCATTCTTCCTGTCATTCTAGCGTCATGCCTGTCGCTTTCAGTTCATGTCTGTCCTTCCACCGCATTTCACTCTTTACGGCTACACAACTCGTTCTTGTTATTTTTTCATTCAATCCCTTAGCCTCCCCGACTTTCACACCCCATCGTTTCACCCTCCAGCCACCATCCGCCGTGATGTGGTCGACATGCTGCCTGGTCGTCTTTGGCACCAAATCTTCCACCGCCTGCTGCAGCCACCCCCGCAAGTGGACAAACCCGACGCCGCCTCGCGATTATTCAACCCAAGACGTGACTCTTCGAAGAATAAATCGGACGACCAATCGGAGTTCAAGAAAATGTTCACTCACCGTGATTCTTCCGCCAGCGACCAGTATGATTTTAATGTCAGAGGCTATGGCTCCTCATGGCCTCTGCTCTGCTGCGCTCTCGCCAGCAAGAGGCTTCTCCAACATGTCCTCTCCTTCGCGGTGAGACCTCTGCTCTCATTCTTGTGTTTCTTCAATCAGCTCATGCTTTTCCTCACTGTTTGTCGCAGCTATCCGTGATCCAGAAATGAAACCTCACAAAAAGCATTTGATTTTTCCAAAAAAGAAACATGCAACAGACATCACAAAAGAAACTTAAAACTCGTAAGTCAATATCGCAGATCCCAATCTTTTCCCGTCTTGATTTGGTGCAGGAACAACACCCCATCTCCCTCGTGTACGAGGACAAACGCTGGCAGAAGACCATTCGCTACTTCCTCACCCGCCACGGCCAGCACATCACTTCCCTCCACCTCATCTTCACAGACGTCCAGCAGCTCCCCTCCCTCCACCGCTTGATCGTTCGCTGCAGCCCCGCCCTCTCCTCCTTCAGCATCAAGCTGCGCGGGTCTGTAGACAGCGACGAGGAGCAGGAGTACAAGGACTGGACTCTCAGCTTCCTCAAAAACTGCTCGCACCTGCAGCACCTGAAGCTGGGCCGAGGCATGTGGAACCTCGATAAGAGCTGTGCGAATGCCGCGTGACTGAAATCAATCCGCTGCCTGACTCTCAAGCAGGTAGACACCAACCACGTCAGCTTTAAGTACCTGGATTCCATCACACCGCAGCTGCACGAGTTCACGCTCTACCAGCACTGGCACCTCTCGCGCGGGCCCATGTTTGGCACGCACGAGATGAAATTCTCCTTCCCCAACGCCCGCCTCCTCCGCTTCCGCTTTGCCAGCAACGAGCTCAAGCTCACACTCACCGTCTCCAAGGCTCTCAAGACTCTCTCAGTGATGGCCAAGTGGCTCGTCCTCTCCTGCAAGAGCACCACCCCTCTCGCTCTCGACCACCTCTCGCTGTACGGCCAGGGGCGGCTCGTCATCTGCTCCCTCCGCGTCGCATCCGCGCGAGCCGTGTACCTCAACGGCCCTGCAGCCGACAAGGGCAGCAGTCGTCCCAGGATGTCCTACCAGCTGCCGCCTTCCTTCCAGCACGCTCCCCGCGGCGTTTCCAGCTTCTCCTGGACCAAATGGTTGCGCTCTATAGCGGGAAGCGTGGAGGTGCTTATAGTGAGGCATGGGATTCCGATCGAGGAGGTGGGGTCGGTGTGGAGGAGGCTTCGTAGCCTTGGGATTGTCATGCATGCGAAGGGGGAGCATAATAAGGAGTGGGAGGCGACGGTGGAGAATCACAAGGCGTTCACGGATGATGGGGAGTATGATGATGATCTGGATGAAGATGGCTTCGGTTGTGATTTTGATGAGGATGAGGACGATTCTTATGAGGATGAGGATGAGGACGAGGAGGATGAGGATGAGGATGAGTATGGATATGGGGGGAGGGGTTATGGTGGAAGGGCTTTTGGTGTAAGGGCTTTTGGTGTAAGGGCTTTTGGTGGAAGGGCTTTTGGTGGAAGAGGGGGAAAAGGCCGCAAGTCTGCGCATAAGAAGAAGAAAGAGAAGGTCTGTGCCAAGCCGCCTTCCATCGGCGCTCCGAATCTGCGGTTCCTCTTCTTCCCATCCAGCAAGGCGTGTGACGCCGCCACACTGGCTGCACTGCGGCAGGACTACCCCGCCCTGGCGCTCTACTGTGTGGTGGACCGCTCCTTCTATTGGGAAAGAAAAGGCGCGCGCATCAGGAATGGGCCACTAGAGCATCGGAGGCGGGCCAAGAGTGGGGTGCTGCGGGAGGAGTTTGACGAGGAGAAGAAGCCGAAGAATGTGCGTGAGAAGATGTATAGTGTGAACAGGAAGTTGGTGGAGGGGTACAGTGTTGAGGAGGACGAGGCGCATATGTTCAAGTACAAAGGACGGTTCTAGGGATGCACCACATGGTAGTAGTCAGGATGGATTACATGCTGGTACATGATTTCCACTGGACCACGGAAATCATGTTAGCCTATAGGAAAGGTCATCGGCTGCTAGGAAGGCAGCGGATGGGCTGTGCTAGCTGTGGGGTTTAGCAGCAGCAGAAGTAGGGGGTGCAGCAACAGCAACAGCAGGTGCAGAATGTGCAGTGGCAGCAGCAGCAGACCTAAGGAGGGGATGAGGTGACGATAAGGGCAGTGTTGGTGATTCCGGTAATGGTGTGAATAATTGGTGCTGGTCTTGCATGCATGCTGGCGAGATGTTGGCACGGTTTTACATTGGTGCGGATTGACGTGCTTCTCTGGTTCTCTGTGTAGTGTACACGGCTAATGCTACAATTTGGGATGTCGGCGTTGTGATAGCTGATATCAAACATGTGAAGACACATTTACGTTAGAGCACATCACCTTACTACAATCATAGGGTACTACTGAAAATCAATACTTACACGAGCAGAACAATTTATCAAAACCCGTTCTGACAGCAAATCTCTCAACTTTATATCGCGTACGGCGACACGTTCTGACTTAATTTCCTCGCGAATTCCATTACCGTATTCCAGCTCCAGCATTATTTTCACATAACGCGATTCACGCTGTTCTCAGCAGGCCAGGTTATGTAGTCGGTAGCGAGCGCTCTCGCACAAATATTTCGGGCGAATATTCGGACCCTCCTCGGGAACTCCAGTGTGCTGAGTGTCTAACGGATAGCTGGTTTCGCCAGCGTCAATTGGGGCGTCGCTGTTTCTCATCCCGTTGCTGAAGTTTTCTCGCTCCCCTCCCGCTGGCAGCGCTCAGGAACGGGGTTCGCGAAAACGGGTACAGTTGTGACGAGGATGATCGTGGAATAGCTCGCGCGCGCTCAACCCGCCAGCTGTGAAGGTAGATTTGGTGCCAGATTGGCGGGAGCCAGCTCGACAGTCCCTGACTGCATGAGCCGTTTCCAGCAAAGCCAACGAGCAGCAATTCTGGCATAGCCTGACGCGACAGAGGAACCTAGGGTATCGTTCGACGGCTCATGTGGTCCTGGCTGCGTGCGTCGTGCTGGTGGTGGTCCCAGCCACGTGTGATGAGGGCTCACCAGAGGGTCTAGGACGTACCATCATTGGTCAGCGTCTGACGCTGTAGCAGGCTTCGAGGGCTGCCTGGGTGTGGAACTCCAGAGGTTTCCGTGAAACTGCATTGCTTCTATTTTTTCCTGGGATCTTGCACAGGGAATTTCCGCTAAATGAGTCCGTATTTTGGTATCCTGCAGCTGGCTGAGCTGGGATCTCTGGAGAGGGCTGCTTGGGTCTGATCATTGTGAAATTAGTGAGGGAAGGCTACTACTGACAGTAGTAGCCATCACGCGAACGCTCACTGACGCTCACTGAGGATTTTGCAGATCTCGCCCTATACGTTTGCTTAGCGTCGTCGTTCCTGTGCCTCGTCCTGCCTGATATGTGCAGCAAATGTCTCTAGTCTTTCCGAGTCATACCGCCAGTGCCAGCCCAAGGCCAGCACGTGATATTCTCCCTCGCCGCTCTTGCTGGATCACTTCCTGCAACTCGTTGAGACAATGGAGGCTTCAGGTCCGTGCTTGTTGGAGCTCCCCTTTCCGCCATCTTTCGTATTTACGCAAAGGGGAACCTATTTCAGTCCCGTTAAGTCTCCCTTCCTACTCCCTCTTGCATGTCTCTTTCTCCTTCCCGTTCCTCCCCAACCCCATTCTTCTACACTTCTCCTTTCTTCATCGTCCTGCAGCCAACACCCCCCCTGATGCAGTCGACATGCTGCCAGCGCCTGTCTGGTTTCGAATCTTCCACCGTCTGCATCAACCGCCCTCCCATCCTGACAACCCTGCTATCCTCGCTGAAAGAAAAGCCCCTGAGGATCCCGCTGCGAAGGCAGCGCAATTGGCTGCCCGTGAGGCTGGATGGTTCCGCACTCCTGGATTCACTGGCTAGCAACCGTGGGGCCTCCCTGCAAGCAACGCCGGGCTCCCTTTCTGGGGCCCGCTGGGCCAGCCTGCATGCATCGCAGGACTCACTGCCTGGGGCCGGCAGGGCGACCCTGCCAACAGCGCGGGTTTCTCTGCCTGGCAACCGCAGGGCCACCCTGCAAGCAGCGCAGGGCCCGCTGCCCAGCCGGGCCACCCTGCAAGCAGTGCAGGTCTCACTGACTGGGACCATCTGGGCCACCCTGCAAGCAGCGCAGGGCTTGCTGCCCAGCTGGGTCACCCTGCAAACAGTACAGGGCTCACTGCCTGGCAAGCGCAGGGCCTCCCTGCAAACAGCAGCACAGGGCTTACTTCCCAGCTGGGTCAGCTGGGCCACCCTGCAAGCAGCGCAGGGGCCACTGCCTGGGGCCAGATGGGCCCTCCTGCAAGCAACACAGGGCTTACATCCCAGCTGGGCCAGCTGAGCCAAATAGCAAACAACGCAGGGATTACCTCCCAGCTGGGTCATCCTGCAAGCAGCAGAGGGCTTCCTTCCCATCTGGGCCAGCTGAGCCACCCTGCAAGCAACACAGGGCTCACTGCCCAGCTGGGCCTCCCTGGAAGCAGCACAGGGGCCACTGCCTGGGGCTAGCTGGACCACCCTGGAAACAGCGCAGTGCGCGCTCTCCAGCAGTTTCACGCCGAATTTGGCCGGCCAGGCCACTTTGCAAGCAGCGCAGGGCTCACTGCCTGGGACCAGCAGGGCCACCCTGCAAGCAGCGAGTAGAGGGGAACCGGAACCGGCGACCATCTCACCAACACCAAGGTTGATCGCGATCGTCTGCCAGTTGTGTTCCGAGAAGAAGGCCTCACTGCCAGAAAGCAGCACGTGGAAAACGCTGACACCTATGGCGTTTCATGGGCTCTGCTCTGCTGCGCTCTCGCCAGCAAGAGGCTTCTCAATCTCGTCGTTGCTTTCTCCGTAAGCGCTCTCTGCTCTCAACTCCTGTTTCGCCTTCACAGATTTCCCTCCCCGCTTTCGCCTGGCAGATCTTGCACTTCTCATTCACAGAGCCTTCCAGCTTGACTACACCTTCTCAGTGCCTCCAGCTTTCATTTTAGTTTGAGCTTCGTTTTATCTTCCAGCTTTCAGCCTCATTGTCAGCTTTCAGGTTTCATTTCAGCTTTGATTTTAGCTTTCAGAATTTGTGTCAGCTTTCATTCAAGCTTTCAGCTTTGAGTTTCATTTCAGCTTTGAGATTTTATTTTAACTTACAAATTTCGTTCCAGCTTTCAGCTTACATTTCAGCTTTAAATGTTCATTTTCCATCACAGCTTTCAGCTTTCTCTTTAGCTTTCAAATTTCAATTCAGCTTTCAGAGTGCATTTCAGCTTTAAGCAGATTCTGTTCCGTCTTTCAAATTTCATAACAGCTTTCTTTTCAGGGTTGCAGTCTTCGTTTCAGCTTTCAGCTTTCCTTTCAGCTTTCATTTCAGAATTTCAGCCTTTTGATTTGGTTTCTGCTGTTTGATTTCATCCCAGCTTTCAAATTTCATTCCAGATTTTAGATTTCATTCCAGATTTCAGGCCTTACTTCAGCTTTCTGAGTTCATTTCCAATTTCAGCCTCCAGCCCTTAGCTTTCACTTTTCACCTTTCCTTGGATGCGGATGGAGAACGCTTTCCCTAGCTGTTAGCAACAAGACCCTAAAAGTCTTGCACCGGCTGGTTGTGCTGGAGACGGTGAGAACTAGGTGTGCCCTGACACTTCACCTGTCTCAAATTTCAACTCCTCCACGCTCTCCCACCCCACCCACTTACAATCACAGGAGAGCCAGCCCATCTCACTCGTGTACTACGACCAGAACCCCCACTGGTCGCAGACAGTCCGCTTCTTCCTCACCCGCCCGGGCCTCCACTCCCTTGACCTCCGATTCTCTCCCCCCGAGCATCTCCCCGCTCTCGGCGCCTGCATCGCTCGCAGCAGCCCCCCCCCCACGTCCCTCCGCCTGGAGTCGCAAGGCCGTGCTGGTCTCTCCAAGCACCAGGAGAAAGAGTTGTGGTCGCTGGGTTTTCTGAGTGAATGCGCCCAGCTGCAGGAGCTGAACCTGGGACGGGGCATGTGGAAACTCAACAGGCAGTGTGTTGGTGTCAAAGCGGCATGGCTCAAGTCGATTCGCAAGCTGACGCTGCCGCAGGTGGATTTCAGGAGTCTGAGCTTCCAGCTTCTCCAGTCCATCACGCCGCAGCTGCACGAGTTCACGCTCTATGAGGATGGCAACGTGCTTCGTGAACATCCCCGCGTGCCCTCCACCAGCCGCCTCGCCTTCTCCTTCCCCAACGCCCGCCTCCTTCGCTTCTGCTTTGCCAGCACTGAGCTGCACCTCACCCTCTCTATCTCCCCAGCAAAACTCAAGACTCTCTCAGCGATCGCCAAACGGCTGGCCCTCTCCTGCAAGAGCACCGCCCCTCTCGCTCTCGACCACCTCTCGCTGTACGGCCAGGAGCGCCTCGTCATCTCCTCCCTCCGCCTCGCATCTGCCAGGGTTGTTTACTTGGACGGACCTGCCAGTGACCAAGAGGGTTTCTCCTGGAACGATTGGCTTGGCACTATAGCGCCAACAGTGGAGGTGCTTATAGTGAGGCACGGGGTGCCTATAAAGAAGGTCGATGCAGAGTGGGGGATGCTGCGGAGCCTTGGGATTGTCGTGCCCCCATGGGACAGGGATGCCCGTGGAAACAACCAGAGTATGGGAATGGGCACAGATGGTGGTGAGTGTGAGGAGCATTTAGACGATGGCAGGTTGCGGTTTTCTTGGGCCGATGACCCGGGTTATTTTAGCGAAGAGCCAGATGAGGAAGTGGATGAGGATGACTATTTGTTTGATGATGCTGCTGATGATGAGGATGATGCTGATGATGCTGATGATGATGATGCTGATGATGATGATGAATATGGTGGTGTTTATGGTGTTGGTGGTTTTGGTGGTGATGACTATGACCGGCAGTTTTTGGAAATGTATGGTCCAGCCATAA